TTCAACCTGTTAGCGATAGCCGTCGGTTAATTCTTCCTGTACCTGATTTGCTTTACAATGCGCTGTGATTTGTATAATAAAAGTGAATGAGTCGGGAAACCAGGGAAGGAAATACGCCTTATAGAATTGCAATCAATATTAGTTACAAATTCGTATTTATCAGCGATAACCAAAAAAAAAATATGGTAAATACGAAAAAAGTTTGGCGATGTTTATTGCGCTACGTTATAACGCATAGAATAACACGACCGATACCTCCTCCCCCGACCGATATCGGCAATAAAAGTTGATGGGACAAGTGGGGCACGCGGGACACGTGGGGCCCGTGAAAAAGTGGGACACGTGGGTTAAGTGTGACATGTGGCACAAGGGGTACATGTGGTACAAGAGGGACGCGTGGTACAAGGGGTACACGTGGTACATGTGTTACAAGTGGTACACGTGTTACAAGTGATACAAGGGGTAAACGTGCTACAAGTGGTACATGTGTTACAAGTGGTACACGTGTTACAAGTGGTACACGTGGAACAATTGGTACCTGTGTTACAAGTGGTACACGTGGTACGTGGCACAAGGGGTACAAGTGGGACACGTGGGACAAGTGGGACAAGTGAGACACGTGGGACAAATGGGACACGTGGGACACGTGGGACAAGTTGGACACGTGGGACAAGTGAGACACGTGGGACAAGTGAGACAAGTGGGACAAGTGGGAAACGTGGGACGCGTGATACAAGTGGGACGCGTGGTACAAGTGGGGAGCGTGGTACAAGTGGGACGCGTGGTACAAGGGGTACACGTGGTACATGTGTTACAAGTGGTACATGTGTTACAAGTGGTACACGTGGTACAATTGGTACACTTGTTACAAGTGGTACGTGGGACAAGTGGGACGAGTGGGACAAGTGGGACACGTGGTACAAGTGGGGCAAGTGGGACAAGTGGGATACGCGGGACAAGTTGGACAAGTTAGACACGTGGGACAAGTGGGACACGTGGGACAAGTGGAACACGGGAACACGTTGGACAAGTGGGACACGTGGGACAAGTGGGACACGTGGGACAAGTTGGACATGCGGGACAAGTGGGACACGTGGGACAAGGGGTACACGTGGTACATGTGTTACAAGTGGTACATGTGTTACAAGTGGTACAAGTGGTACACGTGGAACAATTGGTACACTTGTTACAAGTGGTACGTGGGACAGGTGGGACAAGTGGGACACGTGGTACAAGTGGGGCAAGTGGGACAAGTGGGATACGCGGGACAAGTGGGACAAGTTGGACAAGTTAGACACGTGGGACAAGTGGGACAAGTGGAACACGGGAACACGTTGGACAAGTGGGACACGTGGGACAAGTGGGACACGTGGGACAAGTGGGACAAGTTGGACATGCGGGACAAGTGGGACACGTGGGACAAGTGGGACACGACATTTTGGAGACACCCCTTCTGGAGCGCCGTTTATGGGGCTTGAGCTGGCATTTTAAAACCTTTGCAAGCTTTGAATGACTGACATCGGGTTAAATAACTATCTTAAGCAGAGACCTAAATTAATAGTAGTTGATACTAAGCTATTATATGACTTTTGTTCAGACATGTTTGTCACACGGTGGGAGTATTGGAGTATTTGAAAAAGCATCTGATGAAATGTGTGCAGTTGCAGTCAATTTGATTTATAGAAAGCAGAATTGGCAAGCAGAGCCGGCCGAAGATACTCCGTTGGAAATCAAACAAATTGAAAAAGTACGAACTTAATAACTGTTTTATATTGTTATATTCAGGGCCCGTCTTTTTCAATGGTTCACACCAGGGGTAGGCAACCCTTTGTTGTCAAAGTTAAGGGTTACTTACAAATCTTGGCGGGCCGTACACATTTTTTTATAAAAGTTGAAAAACGAACAGGTGGCTGATGAATCACATTTTTACACAGATCAGAAGTTGAAATTGTAGATTTTAATTAAAGCGATCGAACCATGCGACGACTTTTGGACTCAAGTCGTCTTACCACCCAAAAAATTTACAAATGACATTTAATGTGTCACTTGTTGTTGCATTACGCTTGATAGCTTCTCGACATCAGGCGACACACTGGATGAAGCCAAGACTAGAACATTGTCTACATGGGCTTTACTAATCCTAGTTTTCCGCTTGTCCTTTGTAATGTTCATTTTCGAAAATAATGTGCGTACGTACTGGAAGCGACAAATAATCCTGGATACAAATTAGAAAAAAAAAATGTCATACAAAACTACATTGATCCGATTACAGAATTCAAGATCTTTGAAACAATGCCACAACCTCATGAATGTTGTACGTTGATGACCAAGCGTTTGGCATGATGTGCGATCTTAATCAACCTTTGTGCGTCGCCTAATAGGCAGGAACAAGTAATATACATAGATCAATCAAATAAGTTATCAAATCACGTTATTGTTCAAAACAAAAGTTTGCCAATAAAAAATCAACGTATCACGTTTACTAACAATTGCTATGCGTGTGCTTTTAGTGAACATGGTCATACATAATTTAAATAAACTCAAGTTCATATTTTGACAAACTCAGCCAAGCTCCTACGATAACATTCGTATGGCCTACGAAATTCAATGATTCTCAAGTTTGAGAAAAAAAAATAATATTTCAATACGGCATTCAATAGACTATACAAATTAAAAACGTGAAATGTGCATTTCAGTCAAGAAATAGCTACTTAAAATTTGCATTTGGGGTTAGGAAGCACCTGAAGTTACGAAATTGTATCTTTCTTTTTTTGGTGATGGTGGGCACGCTTTGCTGCACGCACAGCGGTACCGAAAACTGGTAGGTCAGGATCATTATGGTTATTGACATTGATTTTGTTGGTTGTAAATCAATGTCCATGTGAAAATATTAGCTTATGTCTACCGCGGCAAACATCGCACTTGCGCATAATAACGATTCGCTTCTTGTCGTTTCCGGAATAGAGTAGCAGTAGCGATCAACAGCTCATAATTTTGAAATTTGGATCATTGGAATATTACTTTATATTGCGTTTCACATCATCTAGCGTAGTGGTTTCCAATCGATGGGAAATTTCCCACTAGTGGGGAATTTGAGGGCTGCTGGTGGGAAATGAATGTTCCTCTAAAGCAGGGGTGGCCAACCTTTCACATACCATGCGCCACGTTTTAAACATAATGTTTCAGATGCGCCGTAAATCTCTTGTATTCCCACGCCTAATGTCCGCTTCTTGTTGAAATTATATAAATTTATAATACACACACATATATACACACGTATATGTAGTTTTTACAATTTACAACTTCACATGAATAGAAATTAGGCAAGGAAGTATAATAAATAAAACTGATCAATTTTATTTAAGTACCGCCTTTATGAGACTTTTGCTGCTGTTTTACCCTCGCCAGGTTTTTTATTCTTGGAGTTAAGTTTGTTACTGAGAGGAGCAGTGCATTCTTCAAATTCAAATCTGTAAGTCTTGACCTCGCTTTGCTTTTAATTAGTTTCATGGCAGAAAATGTTTGTTCACATCTATATGTCGTTCCGAAACGACATATAAAACCCTGGGCAAATTTTTTCAGTTCTGGAAAATTTTCACGGGGTAACAAATTGCCAGAACTTGATCATGTCAGATGCACTTGGGACTGAAGAAAGCTCATCAAATTTAAGTTTCAATGATGGATGAGTTTTCAAGTCAATTAGTTCCAGTTGTATATTGCTTGGCATCTTCATTATGGTTAGTTCACTAAGTGAAAATGGAAATCCATCTACCCTCGATTCTAATTGGCCTTTGCTAATCAGCTGTTTGGCCTAGCGTCGCGTGATTTTACTCCAGGCTTCTTCGAGATTAGTACTTTTGTTGACAACGGTCATTTGAAGTTTGGATAAAAAAGGTGGTATTTAGGGGTCATTTTCAGCATGTTGTGGGTTGATTTATAATAAATTTTTTAGGCTTGGGCAATTCAACTGGTTGTTCAATGGTTATTGGGAGATATTTGGGAAGTCTGGGCAATGGAAAATCCATGTTTCAAGCTGATAAATGACGATTTTCTATTTTTCCAGAAGTTCTGAACTTTTTACTTCAGTAGGGGAAAAATAGTAAATTTTACTAATTTTTGCTAAAAGTCTAGAATGAATGTCATAAAGTCCGTCCAAAAGCTAACGTCGATAATCGCCTGTTGTTTCTAATTCCAACAAGCCGTAAGTAGGCGACGTGGAGTAAGGAGAATAGATTTTAGATACAATCAAAAGTCACCATGTAAATCGCAAAAAAACGGCTTGGCGTGGAGAAGCCAAGTGCAATTAACAATTTTGGCATGAAAAGGGTTAAAGATGCAATGCGCCACCTCTAATCATGCAATGCGCCACATTTGGCGCATGCGCCATAGGTTGGCCACTCCTGCTCTAAAGTATACGCACAATAACCCAATTAATAAATATTACACAATGAAAATCAAATGAATATATGCCATGAAGCTGGCCCGAGTACGTAAAGTAAAAAGTACGATCATAGTTGTTTCGGCAACAATTTCACGTTTGTAAAGAAAAATTTTGAGTAGCCTATCTGCCGCAATGAGTTGTTTGCCTCAAGACACTACTATGGTGGCCCATCGTTGTCACGCGTAAGATTCAAAAAAAAAAAAAAAAACGAAATAAAATAAAAACGGAATAAAAAAAAAAATTTGAAAAAAAAAGAAAAGAAACGTGAAAAAAAATAAAATGGTTGACAAGGATGGGCCGCCTCGTGGCCCATCGTTGTCACGCGTTTTTATTTTGAGAAAATTTGCTTCTGCTTGGGACCGACGTTGTCATGCATAATCCTACGCGCACAAACGGTGTTCCATGGATTTCTAACTCATTACTGATTTTCTTGAGCAATATTCAATAAATTCGAAACGAAAATGTTCTATAAATTCTCCATGCTACGAGCTCAACTAGAAGTAATATATTTATAATAATGTTATAAGTTAATGTTAACCTTTTCATTTACGTTTTTTTTTTCAATTTTTTTTCTTTTTGCATTTTTTATTCCGTTTTTATTTCATTTCATTTTTTATTTATCACACTACCCAAAGGTTCTATGAAGCCCCATCAACTGAAGCAATATATTTCAAAGATCCATTCTCAGTTTGGTAAACAAATCGCAGTTTCAGATACGCAAAAAGGTGATAGTGACTGCGCCTTCGCAGTTGCATTGCGAATGACAAGGACCAAAAAGCCCAACATCGGCGAGACATTAGTAAAGCCTTGTCTGGTAGAGTGTGCTGATATTATGCTGAGCAATTCTGCGGCGTCAAAGATGGAGCAGGTCTTTAACAATGATGAGCATCTTCAAAAATTAGATATCGACATTCGGTCTATCATTTTGACGGGTCTAATTGAAATGAAAATGTGTATGCACAGTTTACACTCGCCGATTTCTACTTCTTCCAGTTGGGAGATTTCGTATTACATGCGTGAAACAATATATTTTTAAGGGGTTCCAGAAATAATGAAAATGAACGAAAAAAGAAAATTACTTGCAAGACTGTCACATCGTTTGAGAAAAATAAATAGTTACATCTCTACAATTAAATGTATTGGAATATTATGATCATCCCGGAAATATTAAGTTATCTCAATAATGTTAATTTAATGTCATGTTTTAATTCGCTGTTGTAAACCATACGTCCAAGTCATATGCATATACAGCCTACATAATTTGTTTAAAATATTTCCATGGTTCAAGTACGGTCAGGCAGCTACGAATGTAACACAAATATATATATTATTCATTAAAATAGTTCATTGGCCTCCCCTCAGTTTCCCACTGGAACTCCCATACTCCATCAAATTCGTGTTCTGTAACGTAGCAAGTTCGACTACCAGGTTTGAAATGCAAATTGCTGGGTTTCAAAAATGGACATTTGATTCTGGCTTCTAAAACTCCAGTTGCTGAAAAAACTTCAATGTGACTGCTTCCATGATGTGTTACCAGCAGTCTTCCACGATTATCAAAATCCATTCCATCCGGCCCGCCAATTTTCATAGGATTATTGTATACAGCTGAAAAATGATGCTGGCAATAAATTGAAATTAATGAGGACAATGTACAATGAAATTTTTTTTGAAAAACCACTCCTTGGCATTTGCAGTGAGACAAACTCGTGCATACTTCTTAATTAATACTATTTTGCTCTATTCGTTTGCGGGAGCTTTTATTGCTCGCTCGGATTTCAGATTCAGATCAGATTTTATTTTCGTCATGCAAAACTAATATACGATATGAAAAAATAAAAAAAGACATATAACAAATTACGAAGACAGATATCGGCTTGTTGCAATAGACGAGGGATCGCGAAAGACTCAAAGAGTCATCCAGTCAGCGACACCTTGTAGCTGCATTGAAGCAGCAAATATAGCAACCGAACAACTCAATATTAAATAGTCACTAAATTCGACACAATCATATATATAAAAAGGACAACAAAAAGAATGCCACAATGACCACGAAAAGTAATTAGTAAAGTAATTAGCCTCAATCACAAAAAGGAACAACAAAGTTTGAAAAATAAAATACAGGATGTCATAATAACTATGGAGTATTAGATATTTACCTAATTAAACTCGATCATACAGAGTAAGAACAAAATAAAATCGAAATAAACACCGAGATACTACAATGATCACATCGTATTATATGACTTAACAGCGACATCTGTAAGAAGGATATGCCTCAATGACAACAAAGAATTGCGAAATAATGCTGACTAAGCATACACAGTAAACCAATATGGCGTGCCCAGCAACGGGCTTCTGGCTGCGAGAATCAATACCGTATTTAACGGATTTTTATGTTGAAAGCGATTGTTAGTGGCTATTAGAGTAGTACAGAATAATTATGGGTTCTGCAGTATTCGTGGCATATAGATTGGGCGGAAAATATTAAAACAAGAACAGTACACAGCGAGCACACAACTTGACGAACATGGATGGGAAAAGCAGCACCACAGCCTCCACAGGGATAGGTACGGTACCCTAGTGTTACCCTAGTGTGCACAGAGCGATCAAAATCATCAATGCGTTACCAGCAACAACGGTTAGGGCAGACGATCTTTTCATGCATGAAACGGGTCACGAAACTGTTGCGTTCAACAAGGACCCTGAGCCTTCCAGGTTTGTGTGTTATTCATTGCGATCGTGAAAGAATCAACGACGGAGGGAACAATCGTACAGTATAGTTACTAGCTTATCTAGTGGGAAGCGACGAATGAACTTATGTAGTGTTATAATTATGTATTTTATTTTTTGAATACACATTTGAATTAGATTTATATTAAGCACGGTAGAGGTTTGAAGTTGTTAAATTTGCTAGATGACAATATCGCTGCTAGTTTAAATACCCACCTAGCGGATAAAGCAGCGTGAAAATTAACTGTTTCGGCATTGCAGATTACACGTTTGGTGTTCAAATCAAATCCCCCCTCACCGAGGGTGAAAATACATTGGGTAGGCTTCTTTCGTATAGTCAGATATCAGTGACTCTTCTACCTGGCCTTGTTCGGAACAATTTGCCCCCGTACCTCGCTCAAAAAGGTTCAGCTGGCAACGCGCTTGAACGATAAATACATATCGTCACGCTAATACTCGAATTGCGTAAGTCATTTTTGGCAATTTTGAGTTTTTTTTATAAAATAGGTATTTATGTAATGTAACCTGTCTGTTAACTCAGATTTTATTTTAAGAATTTCGAAACCCATAAAAATGGAGATTTAGTATGACATGCACATTTGTGCAATTGATTCGTCATAATGAATTATCCTTGTTACCGCATGACTATCTTGACGTCACAAAGGCAAATTAACATCGGCGAAGTATTTTTGAGTTTTTGCATCTCGGATTCTAGCTTAGCGCGTATTAATTTGAATTTATACTGCAGTATAGGAAGACGTGCACTTGCGATATTCACTGTCCGAGTCCAATTCACCTTGGTCGGCTTTTATATTGGGTGCATTGCTGTTTTATTCTTTGTATTTAATTTTAGTCTTATTTCGGTGGGGGTGTAGAACGCGTTTTTTTTAAGAAATATATATTTTTAAAAATAAAAAATAATGTAATTGAAATCGATTAGGTATTTTGATGATTGGACATTGTAGATACTGAGAATTACATTCGTTTTTGGAATATTTAGTTTTCAGGACTGGTGCATATAGTTAAGTTGCAAAATTGCGTATGTCCCCAAGTCATATACACATTTCTGCCTAAGTCACAGTGCGCCATTATGACGTCACTTAACTGCGTCATACAAACTTAAATCCGGCTACGATCAAAAAATTGAACCATGGCAAATTATTGACTCTCAATGGCATAACAATATCATTATGAAGGTTTTTACGTTCTTCTCAAAATTGCTAAAATGGCTTACGCAATTCGGTTATTAGCGTGACGATATTACCTTCTGGCAAATTAGCCCAAACTCGTCTATTGGCCAGTTCTCCTTTTGATACGATGTCAAATGCTAAAATGCGCCTCTTCATTGTTTCAGCCACCAATAGTAAATCATCCTTTATAGCAATTCCGTTCACAAATTGGAATGATTCATTCATCGCTTTTGGAGTCGAGTGACCTTGTTCAAGGAAATATAAATTTCCGCCAATTATCTGTTGTAGTAAAAAGTTAATTGCAAATGTTCAAATTCGAAAGCGGATACATTTATAAAAATACAAATAATTTTGTAAATCATCTTTCATAATTTTTTGCTGGTTGCTCGCATGCATAGTGTAAGAGTTCAACAGAGTTGCTACACACATTTGGCAATGTACACGCTATCGCATTTCCTTCTGTAGATGAATTATGTAAGCCTGGGAACGTCTGACTTTAGTCAGAAGAAACGTCACAGAAATTTATTTGTGCTAGTACGAGCAAGCCTCTTGATTCACTTGAAATAGTTATCTTCATATTGCTACATCCTCCTTGCATTACGGATCCACCAGAGCAAAAGCATGTACGAAGGATAAATATGCGCAAAATCCGTTATCGCTTTCCCTCATTATATAGTTTGACAATGTTGTCTGAGGAAGACGTTTGAGAAGTTGTATAAGTGTAACAAGAGTGTTTAGTCATTTTAGTAAAGTTAAGTTAAACGTATATACCGTATATGCCGTTGCTTCTTCCCCTTGTGCTGGAGCGACCTCCAAACCGGGTGCCGTGATCCATAAATTACCATTTTTATCGAAAACAAGATCGTTACAGCCATGAAGGAGGTTTCCATCATCGTCCTTGTTGCTCACCTACAATGCAAAAGATTGTGCAAGGCTGTGGATGGCCAATGACATAAAAAATCATTCAGGAATTTGGGGTAAGTTTAGAAATTTGAATAGTGCATGTCAAGTGTCAATCAACATGGAGTTGTGTGTGCCACACAATATACATATACTGCCATTTAAGTGATGTACATACAAAATTCAATCTCATGTGCATATACAGCTAATTCAATATAATATATATAGATATCAATTTAAGTAATGTACATACACAGCTAATGTTCTATGCATATACATAGTCAACTCAATATATATATACAGCCATACAAATAACTTTCATACAAAATCAATGTGATGTGCTTCCACAGACAACTCAAAATACATACAGAGCCATTTCAGTGATGTACATACAAAATCCGGACATCCTACCTCCTGGAGTATGCGCACCAAGATGGCGCACAACCTGAACCCAGGTTGTGTACCAGGTTAGGGTTCAGGTTGTGCAACATCTTGGTGCGCATACTTCAGGAGTACCCAAAATCCCATGTCATATGCATTTACATACAAAAGTCGTATGCATATACAGCTAACTCTAAGCACATATACGGCCATTTAATGATGCAAATATAAAATTCAATGTCATAAACATATAGTCACCTCAACATATATTTAGTCATTCAAGTATTGTACACACACAGCCAATGTCAAGTTATCATATAAAAGATTCAATATATAAATATATACAGCGATTTAAGTGATGATCATATAAAATCTAATATCATATTCATAAGACATTATATTTAGTAACATATATTTAGTCATTCAAGTATTGTACACACACAGCCAATGTCAAGTTATCATATAAAAGATTCAATATATAAATATATACAGCGATTTAAGTGATGATCATATAAAATCTAATATCATATTCATAAGACATTATATTTGACATTGTCATATTTATATGTCATTGAATTTTGCTCTTGAACAGTGCTGTTATTTTGATGTAAATCGTCGCAACCACGAGTTTATTTTATTACAAATAATATGGCATGACAATTTAAACGTTTATTTTGGTCATTGCTTGAAAATTTTGCGCATATTAATTTTTTTTCGCTGAGAAAGTCGGCTTTTTCAACCGGTGTCGTGCGTATTCGTGCCGACTGCTTCACATGCAGTTTCCAATGCGCTGAATCTGTATTTTTGAATCCCGCTTTCGAAAATCCCGGCTGTATCCCCGTACTCGTATACAACCAAAAAGATCACAGTTCTAATCTTTGATTACATTCTGTGTATGCATATAAGACTAAGAGGGTGGTGACAAATTTTATAAAATGCGACACGAAAAAAAAGAGAGTAATTACAATACCAGTTGACAATCGTTACTTCCAGGAGAATACTTGAGAAGTCCTAGTCTAATATCCGCAATCCAAATGTTGTCAAATTTATCTGATTGACATCCTGCAGGTCTTCCACCAAATCCGTTTACTAAAGCAGTGCACATGTCAGTTTTTTCGCCAGTTTCCAAGTTTATTTTATGTAGTTTTCCTGCCCATTCATCCCGAAACTGAGATTCGTCTACACTTCTATAACGCAAAGATAAGTTTAGAATTTTACATGCATTCTAGATCAGCGCCTATTGCAATTAACGGACTCGAAGTGTTTGATTTCAAATTGTCAGTACTAAAAGATACAAAAAGTCGCTAAATGCAATTTTTGTGGGGCCCGATGTTTCACCAAAATTTGCAATTCTCGTGCCCATTGCACTTGGTATTTGGAAGTACTAAGTTTTAATTTCACTACTAAAGTCGCCATTGCTAGTCTGTTTAATGACATAAACTTTAGCGTTAAATAATATCCTTTGCTAGTATTGCTCAGTTGGCATTGTTGTGTGGCTTCAAATATTCGATAAAAGAGTATAATAAACTACCCATTATTGGTTCTTTTAGTGCCTGGAGAAACAGCGTAAAAATTTCCTTTTGTATCAAAAACTGGACCTTCCGATGTTGGTAACCCATCACAAACTTTCCGAAATACTGGTTCAATAATTCTTACACTGGGTTGTTGTTGAGCGTCCGAGTTTAGTTCACGTTCATTGCTGATGAGTTTTCCTCCAATTCCAAAACTCACAAAAAGTGTTTTGAGAATAGCAGAAAGAACCGACATTCTGTTTAAGATATTTTTGCTTGCCCTAAATTAATATGATTTCAAATATATCAATTTAATTTTGCAAATATGCATATCCTGCAAAATGGTTTAAGAAATCAATGAAATTAACAGTTTAGCAATATCAAAGCTAATAAAGGAGAAAATTTCAGTGCATTATGGTTATTTTTTTTCGATTTTTTTGGACAAACCTTTCACAGGTGACCGTTTAAATTACATATATAGATGGATAGTTAAGTTTGAAAACTATTCAATACACTTAAAATAATAATGGGGAATTCTGGAGAGCGAGTGAAACCGCTGCAAGAGTGTGAAACATGAAAAATATCAGGTGCCCGCTCACTAGCACGCACTTATGAAAAAATCACAAAAACAAACACCCTTTCAAACGAAGTTTGGACCAGAAACAAATACACAAAAATACGCCAAGGTATCGAAATTCCGGGTTATTGTAGGCTACTTTTAAAACAACACTTTAGCTAATAATGGCCGATTCAATCTATTAGAAAGACAAACATAGCTTGTGGAATGCAATGTCATGAAGCCATGGAACAAAACCTTACATTGATTGGGCATTGCTGAAAGTGGTTTAACATACATACAAACTCAAACCAAAACTATGCTGGTATATTCTGTGCACGGAAACTAATAATAAAAAAATTTATCAGGAAAAACACAAATCACGCATGAACGGGTTTGCAATTTATGAGACCAATATTCTTAAAACAGTATGCACATAATGCACAAAATAAAAACAATAATACGCCATTAAATTGATGTTTAAAAAGGAACGTTAATCATTGGCATGTTCTAACAAATCGTATTACATTACAACCTATTATGCATATATAGTATTAAAACTATAGTTTCAATTCTCATTTATCATTTAATTTGAATTTGTAGTAATAGTATTTGCAGTATCTGCTGACAGTTCAATACTCTTTTTAATATTCCTGATTCATTATTTTTTGATTCTGTAATGTTGCCTTAAAGTCATTTCCATCTTACGTCGTCTGACTGCAGGCTTCTCGTTGGTATTATTTCTGTCCTAGTTCATTGTTATATTTTGAGTCCTTCTGTATCACCTAAAACGGGACAGGCCTGACGATTTCCAACACGACTTTCCTGCATCAACAATTAAACTTCGTGTGTGAATAGAACTGGAGTAGACCGGGTACTAGTACCGTAATACTATTACCACGCCTTACTAGAATATTCTAACTCATATCCTTCTCTCTATACTCTCTGCATCGGGATTTCTTCCAGGGCAGCAAACCGTTAAGATATCTTAACGCAGTGGTTCCCAATCTCTTTTGTTAAATTTTCCCTTTCGTCTATATTGGAACCCTATGCTCTCACTATACCCGTACTTTATTTGATAATCTTTAATGGATTCTTAGCTAATGTTATGCACAAGTCGCACTCCCGCCGCTTTTGTACAGTAGAAGCAGTTCATGAGTGTGGAACTAAAGAATTTTAGCAATTCTCCAGCAAATACAAAGCAAAATTCCTCCCTTCATTGCGTTTTTATAAAAAACTCATTCTATATACAACAAACTTGATTTCATACTTGTGTTAATCCGCATAGGGACAAACTGTAATTAAGTCTTGCATACGTCACAGGGAAACATGCCATACCAGTTTCCAATGACGTTTCATTCTGTTGAGTTGCATTCTGATAAACATGAGTATCAAACGGTTTTTAAACAAGAACGCCACAGGCATAATAAAACTTCATAAAATATTACTGTTCACGCTGTAAATATCTAGAAGGTCATTGCAAATAGCTTAACTTGTGGTTTTGATTACGCCGTGGTGAAACTTGTCATACCAGATCCCAGCGTCATTAACCATTCGGTCATATTCTTATGAACGCAAGGACAAACAATAATTAATTCAATAACGTCACAGTAATAATAAGATTTTAAAATATGGTAATAGTTTCGGCGCAAATATTCGTGGTGGCAATTGCAAGCAGCTAAATTTGCTGTTCTAATTGTATTGCAACTTGCAAGGTCTATGCAATGAGCTGCCTTTGATCTTACGCGCTACAAAACATACCAAGCCAGGCATTGAAACATTTATCAGGTATTTGGCAATGTTAGTCTATCTCAGGGTCAGATCAGAGACCGAAGACTTATCGATCGAAAGTTAGGAAATCCCCCAAAACAGCGCTCTCACTCCATAGGGACACATTGTGTCCCATCACTAATTAATTGATAATTGATAACTCGCTAATTATACGGCATAATTCGCCCAAAATCAATGGGCTTCTGGTCCGAGATATGATGAATGCACATGCAAATTCTGGAGCAGATTTAATCTTGCTTTCGTGAGATATCGCGTGCATCTAACAGACAGACAGACAGACAGACAAATACCTATCAACATACTTACCGATTAAAATCGATAAGTAACGATTAAAATCGATAAGTAATGAGGTGAGTCAACAATAAATGAATCTACTAGGGCTTGGGTAGAAAAATAATAGTCCTCAGCATTTATACAGGGTGTCCGAATAAAATATATACGCATGTATTGAATTTATGTATACACATTAAATATAACTTCAAACATGGTGTTTATTTAATATTTTTTTGTTTTCTCACCGCCTGTTTTCAAACTCACGCTCATTTTGATCGGGACACTACTGACAACGCAAAGCAATAGAACCGCACACATTATGAAACAATTAAATCCCTTGGAATTTGGATGAACTCAAGCTCAATGGTTTCTCCCAATTCAGCAACTGTTGCAGGTTTCATAGCTAGGGTTACCATATTTTTGTGAATTCAAAGAGGGACGCCTCCAGAGACAACAACGATTTAGCTGTGATTTTGTAACTTTACATTTTACGATTTTACTACATAGGCCTACATTTAAAGCTATCCCGGCTGTCTTCATTGACCATATTGTCATCGAGAGTTCATGCGCATTCATGTTCATCGAGAGTTCATTCATATTCTCTGTCCAAATATCGGGTTAAGTTTGAAAAAATAGAAAGGAATTGACGTTAACGATACAAATAATTCGAATTCAGATTTTTTTATACAGCAAAAGAAAGAAAGAATAATTAAATAGCCTGCCGTTTTCAAGGATTGAGAATTTACTCATTCGCCCAAGCATGCTTTTCTGTAGATAACACCTTCATCAAAAAGACGTTGTTCAATGTTACATTCATGTAAACTTCAGAACAGGACCAATTAGTATTGATTTTACATGTGATACATTGCGGGAAACAAACAGAATAACGCATTCACCTCCAGTAAGTGGGCTAGCGCTGCGCTAGACAGCAACAACAGTAACGAGAACATATTAATTGGTAATGTTGGTAAGGTATCCTCATAGTAAAAAATCGAGTGGTGTAAGGTTAGGTGAACGGGAGGAAATGGGATACCTATAGCCTATAGGATACATCGCGATGGTTATGTTGAGGTGCCCCATCTTGCTGAAAAAAAAAACTCTTCGTCCTCCCAAGTTTTTCCTAATGCTTGGCATAGCAGATTGTTGTAGCAAGTTCAAGTGAATTGGTCCGGTTACAGTAGCGGTAAAAAAGAACCGTACAATCAATTCTTCTGATGATAAACCACGCTGTGATTTAGCTGGATTTCCCGATAAATTGAAATGACGGTCGACAGTAACACTTGGATTCTCAGGTCCCCAATAAGTGCAATTATGGCGGTTAATGAAATCATTTAACTTGAATGTGATCTCGTCACTCACCACGACCTTTGTTGAAAAATCTGCATTTTCTTAACATTGTTGTAAACACCACTCGCAAAACTGTATTCTTCGGTCTGGATCATCGTCATTAAGATCATGGATTAATATTGGAATATAACGTTTTCAGTGACAACGTTCTATGATGCGATGGACAGATGATTTTAGAAATTCCAACATGTCCTAAAGACAAGCCGGTCGAGCGGACTGTCTCGGATAAAAATGGGCGCCAATTTGAGAACAGGCAGTGAGAAACAAAAAATGATACTTTTAAAATAATAAAATTCTGATAAACACCACGTTAACAGATATTTTTAGCGCGTATTCATTAATACAATACATATGTTTACATTTTATTGGGACACTCTGTATATATATAAAATACACTTTGATTCGTTAGTTATGGATACATTGTTAATATTGTGTTATGTAGAAGCGACCTGTGCCACGAACAAGTAAGTCCCCAGGAGGGTTGCCAAGACACCATATTGCAAGAAGAGAAAGTGAACGAGGCAATCTTGAACAAGAGAGCTATGCTCAAATATATGGACACGTAGAGTCACATAATTTTGATGACGTCATAGCGAAAAAAAAGTAATAGCCTTCTGGAGAAAATTTTTATCTTTAACCACTGAAAATTTGAAATAAAGAAAAAAGCTGAAATGAAGAGAAAAGCGACTTTTTAAAAACGTGTCAAAGAACAAGAACAACAACATAATATTGAAACGATCGTTATGTCCACTACGTGTCCAATAACTGTGCGTTTAAGTCATGTAGCGGGAGCAGTTTCATAGGTATAAAGAAGTTTATAGGCAAACTTGTCAGATGACGTTTCCCAGGTTACGGTACCGTACCTTGACGCAATACGTTTATTCTGCACGCAGATCGCCAATTTTAGTTCCATTCTTTGGAGGTTCCTTGCTCTCGTTCAACATTGCAGCAATATTATTTGGTATGTTATATAATTGAAAGTTTAAACTGATGATTGTATAACATTTGGAATGGGCAGTTCGGCTCTACCGCTGTCATTACTTGCAAAAGGAATTGGCCAGGTAAGTCAGTAACTGTAAGTTTACCGCAATTTTGTCATGTCTGCATGTACGGTACCGGTACCGGTACCGTAGTTTTGTAGCTATAATTTAAATTTGTTATTTTTGATGATTTGATATACCGCACATTTTCTAATTTTATATTTTGTTGAGAATATCCTTAAAACTAGTCCAGTAGTCAAGAAATCTGGTCTAATTTTATGGTTATAGACTATTCATAGGTGCATTCTATTATTGGTTGTTCATTATATTATTCAGTTACTGGTACTGGTTGTAATTCAAAAAACAGTCTATTATATTGATGCAGTGTTTGGTACAGGGCCCTAAACCCATAGTCGCAAGTTTCTTGTGAAGTCTCAGCAAATTTTGAGTCATGATTCGAGTCACAGTATTTTAAGTCTCAAGATTCAAACTTGATTTGAGACTCTGAAGACCAGTGTCTCAAATTTACTACTGACTCTGGTTTTAGAGACCTGTATGTAATTATTAATTGTAATGTGAGAAAATAAGGTCAAGCAAGATATGAGAAAATGGGTGTTTACCTTCCTACCATTGTAAAATATGTTTCTCTTATTTTGAGAGTGATTGTGTGAGTTGATGTACGAAGACTATTCAAATCTCCGAGATCTGCAAATGTACTATTTTGTTTCATGATATTCAAGCAGAAAAGGTCACAATCTATCACATTTAGAAAGAATATTGATTGGCAATTAGGCTCCTCATCGGTTACAGTTTTATCTACCATCAAGTTCATACATCTGAAACAAATAACTGGTTAGCAATGCTCATATGTGACATGGATCGATAACCGGGCAATATGACATGGTTCATCGTATGATCAAGCAGTCTTATCACTTTTCCTCTTGCTCAGGATAGATATGAAAATCCTACCACTCCTATTATCTCACTAAAATATTTATGAAAGATTTTACTTAATTATCTTCTTTTCTATTAGTCCCCAGAAATATTTTGAATACTAAAAATGTCTACTTTTTCAGGTGGTAACAAATGGCCATGAAAAATTGGAAGTTTATCTCGAACCAGAAGATTATTACAATTTAAAATCATATTCTCCTTATCATGTATGTACTTTAGGTTTTTACTTCTCTAAATATTGTTCAAATATACATAGAATTTGGGGAAAGTTTCAAAGTTTATGACGGTCTGGCACAAAATTTTGTCTTCTAGCCAATGACAGTTTGTTATCATTATTGGCCATGAAATAGACCTTTGAATTGTTTTGATAAATTATTGTTGTTGTTCGGAGCATTCAGTTTTGCAGACTAATTAATTTTAAATTTTCAGCCCTTAAATTAAGCACTATCATAGGAAGAATTTGCTTGAAAGCTATTGCTTTTATTTTTATTTCAATTTGCTTATATACTGATGAATGATGCTTTTTTGACAACCTAATGTGTATTCTTGTTGCAGTCCACTATAAATAGTTCCATGGGTTACATGCAGCTCTCTATAACTAATACTATAATTTTAATGATTTTTTTTAATTTTTACAGGTGCAAGCATTGCAAGAAAATGAATCATTATTGCAAGTTGGTGGAAATGAAACAAAACTTCTTCAATTACATAAAACATTTGTTACTAGAAAAGGTTCAAACACATTTTCATTCAATTAATAAATTTGATTGAGCAAAACATACAAAATACTTCAAGGAGATTGTTTGTTTATTTGAATACTTAGCAATTTCATACTGACAACTAAGTCACATAGAAAGAATTAATTTTAATGCAAAATGAATTCACTGTGAAAATTTATATTTTATTATATAATTAGACTTTATTTTGGTAAATTTGATGTTAAAACTGATGTCTATTATATGTTGATGGTATCTTAAATCTGAACTGAAGTTTTAAAAACATTTTTGTCTGCAGGTGCTCTTCTTATATTTTCTGAAGAATTAGCAAATAAAGCAATCCAAGAAGAACAACGGAGATTAGATTTAAAACATCAACAACAGAAATTGCTTGAAAGAGTATTTACTTTTATATATTTTAGATAATTTGGGTAGTTAAGGACAAAAACCTCAAGCATATGCATAAAAAAAATTAAAAAAAGAGTATTTTAAAAATCAATCCTGTAAAGGTAGTTTCATGACAGCAAACTCTACTTTACAGCTCCGAATTCTGAGCCATTAAAAATGTGCCTGACTCTAAATTGACAAAAATTTCCACTGGGGCTCCCCCCACTCCAGGAAAATTTTAACTCTGACTCAAGAACTGCCACTGATAAAACCAAATTCTGATGGATGTTTATGCAATTGCTTGTCAAGAATGCATGGTCATTGATCTCTGAATTTCTGTCCATATTTATTGAAATTGCAACTCCTGCTCTGACTCTCTATCCATGGGATTTTAAAATGACGATTCTGACTCCACTATCAATATAAAGTAATGCCAAACTCCAACTACTCATTGTTCGGCATAGGAATAGTTCAATTTACAGCTAATCATTTCAGATACACATATTTAAATCTCAACTTATCTTCTATATTTTTACAGCAACAATGGGAAGACATTGGGGAAACATCATCAAAATATGAAGAAAGTGAAAAAGGAGATGATCCTCTGAGAACAGTGCATGATTTAAGAGTTGCTATACTTATGTATGGAAATAGACCTGAATATAGAAAAAGAGGTATTAGAAAATATTTCAATATCTATATTTAAAAAGTTGTTGCATTTGCCAAAAATTGATCTACTATTCCAAATACATTCTGAAACAAAACAATGGGAATATGGAGTATTGAATATGATATAAATTGTGTTATGTTTAACAAGTGATGAACAGAAGTCAATTTACATTCAATATGTTTGAAATGCAGAAAAGTTAAGATAAACGGTGGTTTATTGGGTTCTCTATTTTCACAGCTTCCAGAAATTTACTATTTTTATTTTGATAACTGTCAGAATTCCAATTGCTCAAATTATAAATTTCTAAATGAAACTGTTCTAAATTATTCCTAAAATTAGGAATTTGAAATACGGATTATATGATTCAGATTCCGCTATTTATTTACATCGTGCAAAACCAAGATACGACATGAAATAAATAAAATGCATGTAACAAATTACAAAAACGGATATTGGCTTGTTGCAGTTGACGAGGGGTCACAAAAGACAAATTTATTTGCGTGGAAGCATTCATAATCATACAATGGGAAATCATTCTACCAGAAGCACTCCAGCAATCCCCAATTATATTCTAGATTTAACAATAAAATGGCTAGTTATTGATGACTGGATTCTAGCCTATAAATATTTACCCCAGGCAAGGTCATAATTTTTTGGGTATATCTATTTACATTGACTGGATATTTATATTGAACGGCATATCTATATGCTTGATGTTGGAAAGATATCAAAGTTGGCTATATAAGTCTCAATGTCCTAAATGAACTTGCATTAAAATTCTTTTTCAATAAACAAGGTGATGATCTGTACTTGCGTTTCATTCACGAATCAAAATCATTGAAAGATGAAAGAAAGATTCGACCAGGTTTCAGTCCTAAAAGATACATCACAGCATGGTCCAAGTATTGGCACGAAGGTAATTTTTATAATCTAATATATTTACTCAGTGGTTCATAGGCTTTTCAATCCTTCTGTTGCTAAATTGATGTTGTAGTTAGTCTTGTTCAGTGACTCATCCACTTAATTCAGCACAAAAATATACAAGAAAAGTCATAAGGCGAAATTTATTTTTTTACAATAAATTAAGTGTCATAGGCTATATTAGAGTTTCTAACAAATTGTAGCCTTTAACATATCATTATTTCCTTAAGTTAACAGAATTTGTAATATACTTTATATCAGGAATGAAACATACATGCCCCATCATGTTTTTCTGGTGATTTACCAAGTCACAGGCTAATATAAACACACACTTATATTTCAGTGATAAAAATTGATAATAAAACTGGCTTAACTCAATCTAACAATAAGCTAACTAAAGTATGGTGCAGAATATTTTGAGATTGCAGATTTTTCTCTTATCGTCGTTTGGGATTGAAAAATAAAATATTTCCAGATTGGAATTACTTTCCAAACTCTTTCGAACCCACGACAATATTTACCACATTATAGTAGTGGTATAAACTTTTTTTTTGTATTTTAAGTGTATGTGAATACATGTTTTCACACATGAATTTCATAAAATTGGGTACCAGGAATCGCCTTTGTTTGTATGTGAGTGCTTTATGGGTAAATATCAAAAGTACACAATTCCAATGAGGAATAAGATAAAACAGCAAATTTTTCCTGAACACAGATTTTGATTAAATGTCTAACATAACCAAAGTTTTTTTTTCTCAATTAAAATATAATTTTTGACCCATTCATTATAAAAGCTTCGTCATCCCCGCTATATATCTTGCTAGAAAGCTCTTTGTATATATTAGCATTTTGTGGGTGTGACTTTTGGTCAAATTACAGTGACATATGCAACAATGTCTTTTATGAATATGTTACAAATCACCTTCGAGAGCTTTTTCATTCTTTTGTTAGGAGATAATAATTTCAACCTTTTGTGTCCACCACACACTTAATTACAATAGGTTTCAATGTTTTGCAAAACAAGACAAGAGTCTTCATTGTTTTATGATGGCTAAAGTTTCAGTACACACCGATTATGAATTATGATAATATTTCTAAATTGAAGGATTCATAATGGCACTTACCAATGCTTAAGTCAAGAACACTTGAAATATAAAGACAATAGGCCTACTCAATGTTTGCAATAAGCGTTTTTCTTCCACTTCTAATTGCCACACATGAGGGTGAGTTTGCTCTGCTAATAAGAAATACAAATATATAGCATAATGAACTTTAAAACAAGGGAGGAAGCTAAAATATATAGACATGTAGATCCAATGAATAATCAAGTCAGGCTATATGACCTTCACAAAATTAAAAAAATATGTATATCTGAGTAAATAGCTTTTTAGTGATATCTTGTCATTCCACTGCTCAAGACAAGTCCACCAACTCATACAGGATCCACTAAATTGGGTAGGGTTATTTAAGAAAAAAGGATTCCAATTCTCCTAATTTTAATAACTTCACGCACCCAGGATCCCTTGTAAAAAATATTTATCCATAACTTAATAATAGGCCTACAACATTTTTATTAATCTTTATTTAGAAATGCTACAAAAACTACGAACAAGCGGTTTGATTCAAGACAAAACTATTTATCGACAGAATCCATTATTGCCACATTTGTATCAACCAGCATCATACAATTTATCAACAGTACCACCACCATATCGTGTCACCAGGAATATGCTTCATGCAGGAGATGTTGGTACATATGCTTATCACCGGTATGTTTAAAGGATAAAATTTTTATATTCATTACTGGGAGAGGAAAACAGATAAGAATCTTTATTGTATTGCGAACCACAACCTTTCGTCCTGTTACCAGTCCATGTTTTGTATTGGAATAGTTGACAAATTATTTGTTCCAGGTGCACCATCTAGAAATCATACCGAACATATTTACAGTACTACTATAAGAATTTGAACCTGCGAATACATGCAGTTACAGTTACATACAATTAGAGGACCGGTGGCAAATATATTCCTAACACAATCCTAGCACGCTGTACCAACTGTTGAGACATGGATATGTTTACTCGAATTTTCTTTAAATAAAACCATCTATGAAAATCACTAATATTGACTTATCTCTTGCAATATCTGGCACTGGTTGCTTCACTGGGCACAAATTGTACATATAGGCTGTTTTACTAAGTTGTTGTTGTTGTTAGAAAAAATTACTTTTTTTTGCAATTAACTGACCGATTGATGGTTGCAGTAATTAGCAGAAGCCTTTTTTCAATTTCTCCCAGAGTCCTATAGGACTCAATCTCTCGTAAATGGGATGGTCATTGATCCCGGTTCTGCGACATTTTGAACAACTGAGACATGCTGGGACCCAATATTCCACCCTAAATTTTGTCTTTTTTTAATTCGTAGGAACAATTTTTTATGTGTCCATATCGGTGAGAATTGCTCTCTTGTTTTACATATTTCATCGCAGATGTTGAAATAAGCAATATTGATATTCATAGGGAAAGGCTGAAACCTCTGTTTTGAAGTTGATTTTCAGTTAATTTGAAAATACCACAGGGGCCGATATATTCAGTTCAAGTGTAGCCTACCAAACTGAATTATGTTTTTAATTAAGTAGAGCGGCAAGTCCTCAATTTTTTTAGTTGAAACTTTATATTTCTGTGCAGACCACATCGTTCCAAATTGCAAGCACCTGAACTTTTGGATGATAAAGAAGCGAAAATTTCCATAAGGAAAAAACCACCTCCGTCAACTGATAGTAAAGTAGTAAAGAAAGAAGGACGAGAACCTATTCCTCTCGGCTCAATTCAAGCTGTTCGATTTCTTGAGACTGGGGAAGTACAAGAAGTCAAATATTCAGAATTAAAACCGCAAGAAAAGAAAGAGGTGAGAAACAATTGGGTAGACTAATTGCAACTAGATTTGCAAGTCGTCGAATGTTTCAATCCTTTCATTTTATTTCATTCGGTTTACGCTGGAATAATAAACTCGTTTTGAAATCGTTCAAAAAACTAAAGGCATTTTTCAGTTTTTTATAGCCTTACTCTGAGGCTATAGGCTGTCAATGCCAACAGCTACCTCATCATTATTTGGTGCAATATCTTATATCATTTTAAAATATTACAAAGAAATAGATGCTTTTAGGCTAGAAATCTAATGCAATATTTTCCAATTATAATAAAAAGTTACAGAAGTTTGAAAATCAAAAACATATGATTCCACATTTTCTCAAAACAGCTTTTTCAGTTTTGGCCATTTTGGGTCAATGCCATCGAAGTGCTACCTTTCGTATCAACTTTTCTTACCTTTGTTTTTTCATTCCAAGATTCTTGCTGAACTTTTGCAAACAGCATGGGAGCATGGTAAACACATTGAAGAAATGCTTGATTTAGTTTTGGCAGCGAATAAACCTCGTACACAAAGTGCGGCTTCTTCTTCAGCAGCAAGTGAACTTATGATGGATATGCATCGTGCAATTTTAGTGAGTTGGAAGAATTGTCCATGGTTGTTATATTATCTGTTTTTTTTTTCTTGATGCAACGCATATCCTAGCTAATTATTGCTCCACGCCTCAAAATGAATATGTGAATGCTGTTTGAATAGGCGAAATGCATCAAAATATTCAAAAATTAGTAGTATAATGTGTACAGTGATACCTCGATAGTCAAATGACTTGATACTTGAACAATTTGGTAGTCGACCGAAAAATTCTAGTCAAAATTGATGCGGTACTCAAACGAAAATTCTGTGCTTTTTTGTCTCAAATAATGTGAACATTATTTGCATATAGTGGTAATGTATTGGTGGGCTTGGTGGCTATATTAAGGACACAGGTTGAAGATCCCAGGTTAAACACAGGGTGTAATAAAAATTAGGTAGCATTGTCGAACCGTAAAGACTCATTCCAAAAATAGTGGATCCTCATAACTCATTAATGCTTGTACAGATCCTTGTTTAAAGTGAACGTATAAAAATGCACCATAAAAATTTGTTCTGTAAAACTTGTTAACTTCTAGACAATTTAAACAAAGTCAATGCATTAGTGGTATTTATTATGACTAAGACTAGAAATTCCTACTATAATTTTATTCTTACTAACAGCAGACTATGTATGTTTTTGGGTAATTATAGATTGTATTCCGAATTCTTTAACAAATCATTCTGTTTGATTGTATTCATAATTTCTTTTTTACTGAAGAGCCTCGCTGATTCTCCCATTCAAAGACAACTTCAGCAAAAACAACAAGTATTAAAAATAGAGGAAGAAAAACAAAAAAGGAAAGACAAGAGGGAAGCTGCAAAGTTGGAAAGAAAAAGGCAACGACAAAGAAGAAGAGAAGAAAGGGAGGCACAAATTGCCAGAGAGCATGAAAACCAAGAAGCTGACAAGAAACATGCAGAAGAAGATAGACAGCGAAGGGTAACTATTCCTATTCATTCTATTCGTTTGTATACTAACTAATCTGGAGGTGACTCTGACTTTCCAACAAAACGGAAAATTTCTGTTTTATTTACAAAACTGCTACTCCAGCGGCTGGCTAATACCAAATTATATGATGATGATTCCAAAGATCATTTGCCATCAAAGGAGGGTTGGTGTTTATAAGTGATGATCGGTTTGATATTCTACTTTCAAACCATCCATTAGGCTTGCACGTAATTGACAAAAATCAATTCCGTAATTACGGTCAAATCGATTATGTAATGACGTAATTGCGATATTTTTTCACACATTTAAACCTATCATAACAACCAATTGAATCCACTTCATTTTCGATTGGGACATCGAGTTTGAGTTTTCATATCCTGGCAGTACTGCACGCCGGCGACAGATGTTAAGACAAGAGTGAATTCAAATTAATTTTATTCTGATTTTTATCTTTTGTGCTAGATTTGATTTCCTTTATCACCTTCGCAAATTAACAGTCCCAATTTTATGCGATCAATTTTATCATTACCGACACTGGTATACGGATATTTATGAAACGATAGTTGACTTTTTTAATAAAATCGTATTAAAAAAAATGTCGGGTTTCCAATTTATCAATGCCATGACGAGCCTATTCTCTCGTTTGATTATACTTGCGCTTGCCTCTCGACGAAGACTTGTTATTGCACCGTTTTTAACATTATTCGACTTTACTACCTAGTCAGCATTTTATAATAATTATTGATGCCGACTTATTGACGTTATTCCGATTACCATGCTTCATTTTACATTAAATCATTTCGCGGCCTAAATGTTGTAACATTATTTGCAACAAATTTAGATCAAATATTAATTATTTGCGCATAATTTAAATACCATACTTATATGATATGGCTTTTCCGAAAATACAAATTTATATCGCAAAAACATGCATATTGTTAGTTGTGACATTTATTTTGCACTCACGAAAAAATTAACTTATTTTTCTAACTCAAGTCGACGATCCTATCGGCCAAGATTGACACAAATTTGGACGAGTGTCTGTGATTTTCAAGAATCAAAATAAGTTGCCGCATTTGGTAAAGACAGTTAATCATATTTGGCCGAAATATTGCGAGGCATTGTGGAAAATATATTGAGCAAGGACAAGTCCGGACTGATATAAAACGATAAAACGATAGTTAAATTGAGAATATTGAACTGGTAAAAACAAAAAAACGATCGTCTAAATTCTTAAATCTCATTGCCTTGGTTAAATATAATCCAATGATCAGGACATTTTCAATTAAATACTGCACAAAGATAGTTATACATTAAACATTTAGGCTACAATTTAGCTTTTTTTTAAATTTCAATCATGCATTGTGGTGGAGAAATCCAACTATTTAAATACGGTAACTATAAAAATAGAATAGGATTCTGGATTCGATTTAAGTATTCTAAAACAGTGGTTCCCAACCGCCGGTCCGCAGACCGTCAACGGTCTGCAAAGGATTTTTACCGGATCGCGGGAAATCCCGTCATATTGTTGTTTCTCTGCCGTTTCAATCGCTTTACCGATGCCGAAAAGACGAAGTTGCTTTGGTTCATTATGCAATTTCTCTCCGTCGTCATATTGCTGATTTTTACCGGATCGCGGGAAATCCCGTCATATTGTTGTTTCTCTGCCGTCTCAATCGCTTTACCGATGCCGAAAAGACGAAGTTGCGTTGGTTCATTACGCAATTTCTCTTCCGTCGTCATATTGCTGATTTTTACCGGATCGTGGGAAATTACGTCATATTGTTGTTTCTCTGCCGTCTCAATCGCTTTACCGATGCCGAAAAGACGAAGTTGCGTTGGTTCATTACGCAATTTCTCTTCCGTCGTCATATTGCTGATTTTTACCGGATCGTGGGAAATTACGTCATATTGTTGTTTCTCTGCCGTCTCAATCGCTTTACCGATGCCGAAAAGACGAAGTTGCGTTGGTTCATTACGCAATTTCTCTTCCGTCGTCATATTGCTGATTTTTACCGGATCGTGGGAAATTACGTCATATTGTTGTTTCTCTGCCGTCTCAATCGCTTTACCGATGCCGAAAAGACGAAGTTGCGTTGGTTCATTACGCAATTTCTCTTCCGTCGTCATATTGCTGTTTGATAAGCGCGACATTAATTATCACGGTGACGTATTGGCAAGAGAGAGAAAAGTGAGAAAAACGGCTGCAAATACCGAAGCTCTAACTTCTTATACTTTTTAAACTTTCACTTTTTACAATCGACGGAATTGACTGCTTTGAAGAGAGCTTGTTTCAATCGCGAAAGCGCTCGACCAATAATTACGACTTTACGTAATTCGTAACTTCCCTTCCGTAACTCGAAATAATTTCGTAATTCCGTAAATCTGTAAATTACGTGCAAGCCTACCATCCATGCATCTAGAACAGCAGATTTCAACTTTATTGATAGAGTGGAAGCCCAATGAAATATTCCAAAGGCTTGAGGAAGCCCTATCCTATGCAATTCATAAAGTATATCAATCCAAAAAATGTGAAACAACAATTTGACACGGAACATCCTTGCAACACTAGTGGAAGATACCTAATTATATGATACCTGGGTTATATTTAAACAATGTACATTATATTAAAATATGCTCTCTAATTTAAATGTAAACTTGTGGAACCCCTGGGACTGTACTGTCAGAACCATGGTTGAAAACCACTGATCTAGAATATTTAACTAGTTAGCTATAACTGCACATGGACTGGTAACTAAATAGTGAATGAGATGTCATATTTCGCTTTTTAATTATATTATCTTGCTAACCTCTTCTTATGAAATGTGTATGAAATTTTACTTTTCTGTAGTCTTGACATTCAAACATAGTAAGTTTATATATATTTTTATCTTTTATTTTACAGAAGGAGAGAATTAGAAAACAGGCAGAACAGAAAGAATTGATCCATGAAGCAGAACAGCAAAGAATACTGCAGGAAGAATACCAAAAACAAGCAGAACATGATGAAAGAGAGAAAAGGAGAGAAGCAAGAAGAGAAGCAAGAAGAAAAAAGGTCTGTAAAAGGATCCAACTCCAGTGAAAACATGGCAGACACACTGGTTTATATGAGGAAAATGGAAAATCAATTCTTCAGTAATTTGAAGAAAATTCCAAAATGTTTTTTTGAATGTATAATATTATTTCTCAGAAAAATTTAATTCGACCAAAAAGTATTACAAATTTTGTCCATTATTTTGGTCATCTAGAAATTGTTTCTGGGTTTTTAGAATGTACTAGCCACTTTTTTTCTTAGGACGAAGAAAGAGTCGCAAGAAAGAAAGAAAAGGAAGAAGAAGCGAGAAAGCAACAGGAAGAAGAAGAACAACGAATTTGTATGCTGTCATTTATTCAAATTTTTCAAATTGTACCCTTTGAAAATAATTTCATAATTTAAAAAAAAAATATAGGTGCGACCAATCCGCTCGACATAAGTGCAAAACAGGCTTAGGGGTCTGAATGTACTGGCAATGATATACGGGTTTGTAGCGAGTTGGTTATTCATGAAAATCGTATGGTCTGCGCTTGCATACATTAGGCTTGTACGTAATTTACAGATTTACAGAATTACGGAATTATTTCGAGTTACGGAAGCGAAGTTACGAATTACGTAAAGTCGTAATTATTGGTCGAGCGCTTTCGCGATTGAAACAAGCTTACTTCAAAGCAGTCAATTCCGTCAATTGAAAAAAATTAAAAGTTCAAGTAGAAGAAGTTAGAGTTCCGGTATTCGCAGCCGTTTTTCTCTCTCTTGTTACGCAGATGGGGAAGGCATACCGCGTCATTTACTAACCTATTATCAACTTATCTAGCATGGCCAATGTACATATTAACCGTAGATAAGGAATAGAATTGTGTTGAGACCGATGGACGCCAACACACCTGGTTTCAACTTCTTCGGGTGAAATGACTAAAAAATGTGAGAGATCAACTTATAAAACATGGTCTATTTGTAAATGCCGCGATAATTAATGTCGCGCTTATCAAACAGCAATATAAAGACGGAAGAGAAATTGCGCAATGAACCAACGCAACTTAGTCTTTTCGGCATCGGTAAAGCGATTGAGACGGCAGAGAAACAACAATACGACGCGATTTCCTGTGTTTATTCTGCGCCAGATCCATTTTCTATTACAAAATCTTGATGTTCTTTTACCGATTTTATCCTTATATATCTGTCCGGACTTGGCATTGCTCAATATGTTTTTCACAATGCCTCGCGATATGTTGGCCAAATATGATTACCTGTCTTTACCAAATGCGGCAACTTATTTTGTTTTATCGTCGACTCGAATACCACCGGCACCCGACCAAACTTGTGTCAATCTTGGCAAATAGGATTGTCCACTTGAGTTGAAAAAATAAATTAATATTTCCATGAGTGCAAAAAAAAAAAGACAAAATGCATTGTTTTGCAATATAACTTCGTATTTTCGGAGAAGGCATGTCATATAAGTACGGTATTTTAAATTACGCGCAAATAATTAATATTTGATCTAAATTTATTGCAAATAATGTTATAACATTTAGGCCGCGAAATGATTTAATGTAAAATGAATCATGGAAGTCGGAATATCGTCAATAAGTCGGCATCAATTTTTATTATAAAATGCCAACTAAGTAGTAAAGTCTGATATTGTAAAAAACGGTGAAATAACAAGTCTTCGTCGCGAGGCAAGCGAAAGTATAATTAAACGAGAGAATACGCTTGTAGTTGATTAATAAATTAGCAACCCGGAATTTTTATTTAATACGAAAGTCGTATTAATACGTTAATACGATCCAAAAAAAGTCAACTATCGTTTCATAAATATATTACCAGTGTTGGTAATGATAAAATTGATCGCATAAAATTTGGTGATAAAGTTGATAAAGGAAAATCAAAGCTAATACAAAAGATAAAAATCAGAATAAAATTATTTTGAATTCATTCCTTGATATTTGTTTTCACATCTGTCGCCGGCGTGTAGTACTGCCGGGAATATGAAAACCAAACTTCGATGTCCCATTCGGAATAGAAGTGGATTAAATTTGTTGTTATGATAGGTTTAAATATGTGAAAAAAATTTCGCAATTACGGGGTCATTACGTCGTCGATTTGGCCGTAATTACGGAATTGATTTTTGTCAATTACGTGCAAGCCTAGCATACATGCACTTAATTCAGCTCACAGGTGTCGATAAACATATTTTGATTATATTAAGCCCTACAAAAAAAAACAAAATAAGAAGGTATCTATGCAAAAAAGCTAGGGAAAGGGCCTTTTAAATCCCTAGATTTTCAGTTCATCTTATGTGCGAGTCAACTCTAAATTAAACTTTTTTAACACAAACCTAATAGTGCGACCTATACGGTAACGCAACATATCAGTGGGTATATAAGGTATACTGCAGGCATATAATGATTGGCTGTCGCTGAACAGCTGTTAGGTCACTTGTCTGAAAATATGGCGTTTAGCTGCTAGCTTATATAAATGTTCATGTCACACAAAGAGAGATTTTGTTTCAGGTCTTGCCTGTCATTTTTCGTTGTAAAATAATGATTTCAGTGTACTTTGAGGGTGGGGCTTGACTTGGTAAGGCAGATATAAATTTATAATTCGGGCACTCAAAAGGTTTAAATCTTAGCACTGTTTAAATGCCCACCCAAAATAGGCATCCATTGGCCGACTAAATACAGGGCGGCTTGGTCTATTCAAATGTAGAACTTGTATGCATATAATGTGTAATTTAGGAAACTAAACTGTAAACTAATTTCACAGTGGAAGAGAAACAAGAAAGAGAACAAAGGAGAGAAGAAAGAAGAAGGCAAAGAGCAGAGAGAAAACAGAAAAAAGAACAAGAAGAAAAGGAGAGAGAAGAAAGCGCAAGGATGAGAAGAGAGACCCGGCATGCAGATGGAGAAGATCAACATGTGAAAACACAGGATCAAAGGTGTGTCAACTTGGCAGATTAGAAATCGAGGACTCGAACCTCAGTGTTGATCCACCTCCATCCATCATGGCTGGTCTAAACTTGGTAGATTATGCGAGAAACTCCTTGATTTGTAATTTATGTTTGCAGAAAACATGCAGATGATGCTCCAAGATATTATAGTGATCAGCAACAGCCTATTGGACAACCAGTTGACCAATCTTTTAATCGTCAAGAACATCGTCAGCAACCATTACAGGTACATAAAGTCACTCTCAACTCCTCATTACGAAATTTTATTTATTTCAGAATTGTATTCAACAACTAACTCTTTAGAATATGGAGTCCGAAATCCGACACATGTCGAATTTCCAAACTCATATCTCTCATTTATGACTCAATCATAATTTTTCAGGACGACAGTGTGATTTTGCATGTAGATATGGTCAACCAAAGTGAAACTATGCTAAAGAGCCGACAGATGCCAGCTGTACCACAAAACACTCCTGCTACACAACAGAGAGTTGTTGGAATTCAAAGACAAGTTCCACTACAGAATGTGAGTATTTTTGTTGTTTAATACTTTTTTTAATCCATAATAGTTTCACCACTCCTCTTATGCCATTTAGCCATCCAAGTGTCTGAGTCTGAAGTTTGTCAATTTCAACGAATTAAGGCAAGACAATTTTCATTTTGTTTGAGTTTGTTATTTTGAAGCTTTTAATATATTAAAAAAAAATTGCTTTCAAGATTTTCACTTGATCTTACCTGAAGTGAAATTTTACTGTCATTTTCTTTCAGGTCATTTATGAAGCAAAAAGCAAACGAAGTCATGGAAGTTCAAGTTCAACATCTTCAACGCACTCAAGGAGGAGAGCTCCTCATGCGGCTGCAGGAACACTCATTTCTGACGGTGATGGACAGTTTGCTCATTACAGTTCTGCCCAACCAATTCCGCCTACAAAACCACAAAAACGTACCAAACAACGAAAACTATCACCATTACAGCAGCAACCTATTGAGCTAGCCTTTTCTATTGTTTCGAGTCATTCCTCTAAACCGGTAAGATAAGTGAATTTCTAAAGTAATCGGTGAATTTCTTAATCAATTTTACCATTGAATGGTGATTGAATGAACTTTTTTGTTGGGTTCTTGATCCCCCCAAAAAATGAGTTTCGTTTCAGGTGATGATTTTATCTTAACTACACCAAACTAAAAGATGATCACAAAACAGAACCCAGGAACATATTTCGATGAAAACATTACTTTTGTGCAAAGTTTCCTAGGTTACAAGGAGTACAATCATACACAAACAGAAGTTCAAGTCTTAAATAAATGTCTTTCACTTTTATGGGGGTAACTAAGAAAATTATTGGTTTAATTTTTTGGCGGTCACCCTGTATTTGTCAACTCTTTGGATAAACATTTTGACCTGTTTTTTTCATTTTGTATGACTGATAGAAAAATTTACTGTGTTTTTCAGTTATTTTTGGTATAAGAAATAATGGTCAACTTTAAATTTGGTGATAATATTATACCCTATTCAAACACACAATGCTAGAAATGAACTAATAGTTTACTATCAATTCAAATTGAGTTCAGTTAATATCTTTTATTTTGTTCAGAATGTGTTTCCTGCTGTTCTTCCTGGTGACACAGCTTCATCTCATGGAAAATCAAGTTTTTATGGAGGGGCCATGCCAATTACGAGCAATATTGGTAAATACTTTATTTTCATTGCTGAATAAGAAAAATAAAATATTTTTTACTAATTTCAAATCAATGGTTTTATTTCTTTTATCAGTAAAACAAACACTATCAGATAAGATATCACTATTATCAGCAAGTCAAGATAACTCAAGTCAACATCATTCTCTAGCAGATACATATCCACATGTCAATGTAAGTTGGTATTCTAAGTGTTTCTCATTGCATATAATATATTATAAAATAAATATGTATTGAAATATAACTTTCAAGAAGTTAATTTTTGTGTATACATTTGTCATGTTTATATTTTTAATAAATCATTTATCTCATTGCTTGACTCATTCCTGGCTCGTTGGTTGGCACATTGTGCTAAGCTTTAGGAATATTGATTTCCTTATACAGGTTCGCAGGCTAGAATTCCATAGTGGTAAATCACATGCAAGAAGCTTGCTGGACCCCTTGTTGGCGCAGGGTGATTCATGTGACCAATAGTCAGGCACAGTCCCTCTCCATTGAGTCCATGTATGTCAAACAAATATCTGGTTAACTAATTCCATACCCAAAACGGACTAGTAACTGGCAAGAGGCCGTGGTTCGTCATATAATTGAGCAGTCTTATCAGCTTTCCTCTCTCTCTCTACGTTAATTATGAAATTCTATCCGACCCTACTATTCCTTGTTCTTGATATCCTTCAAGATCTTTTCAACTCAGGTATTAAATATATAACCTGCATAATGTATTCCATAACTAATGTTTTAATTCTAAAATTTCATAAACAGTAACTTTGATAAATATTTCATTGTTTTTGACTTTTACGTTACCAAATCACATTGTTGTGTTTTAGGAACAGTACGGTGTACCGGTAATTGGAGTTGAACCACCTACACCAGTACAACCATCAAAACAACAATCACAAGTTGTTATTCCACCTTCACCTGTTCAATCTGCTAGTACAAAGTAAGTTAATAGTTAGGTTCTCAACCTACAAAGCTACAGAGGTTCTTAATTATGAAACATGAGATAAATTGAAGAGACTGAAATAGATTAGCATCACAATTTTTTTGTTGTGCATTTAGTTTCCTGAACACTTATCATTTCTAAAACATTCATCAGTGTTATGTCTTTAAACAAATTTAATTCCTTATAAACTTTAATGCTATATCTGAAAACAGTTGGAACCTTGAGTTCAGCATATCGTTAAATATATCATTGAAAATTAAGCATTGCCATTTTTTCTTAAGTTCAAATGATAGGATATTCAGTTACTGTACAATTGAGAAGCCTGGTCAATGGGTAATGCTTTGAGAGTCTTTAATTGCGAAAAGTATGAACAAATTCCAGCGCTGCGTGTAGCATGCCTCCTATCGAACATAGATTAAAGGATATTTTGCACTTCTTCTACATCATTTTACCCCATTATGTGATGACCATAAAACGACGTTGTTGTTTATTCTAAGCAGAAGGTAGAACTCTGATATTACTAAACAAAAATCTGAGCGAGGGGCCGGACCTTCTAATAAATAACATGCGTATAATATTATTTCAGGCTTTCAATTGCATATATTTGTGTTTGCAAAACTTGCTTTTATCACTGTATAAATAAGCATGATGAATGAATATTTATTCATAAATCTTCACTTCAGGTCAACATTAAAGAAAACATCAGATAAAGCTTCATCATTGAATTATTCTAATGAATCTGAAGATGAACCTTGTGAGTGTTAATTTAGTAATAAGTTGACTAATTATTGTTAATTTTTTTGAATAAAAAAAAATTAAATAATATTTTAATATTTGCTTTTTCGTTAAGGCTTTCTACTATAATCGATCCAGTGATTATAATGGTGAAGATAGAGTTAATAAACATATTGTTTCAGATTTGTCCGACCATTCAAGTCGTTCTTTACCTCGATCGGTTCGAAGTGAAGGCAAACAGCCATTGAAGTCTGTAAAGAAGTCATCCACAACTGTTAGTGGTGAGATGCTAAATTAACAAGTTATTGGGTACTCCCGTAGTATGTGTACCGGGTTAGGGTTAGGCCTTAATTTTATTCCGATTATAGTTTTATTACTTATTTTAGTTCTATTACGAGTTCGGGGACTGTCTGTATTAGCCAAGTGAATATCCCCCTGCCCATAGGTTTCAGTCCCTTCACACATCTTGATGTAAAATACGCAAACAAAATTATTTACCTTACTATTGGTACACACACTTCTGGAACGCCAATTATTGTTGTACATAATCTATGAGAAGTGTAGTTCAATTGTTAAATGACCACCTATCCTAAAGGCATCTCTGTTCGATAACCACTTTTGGTTTTCTTCTTCTCTACCCTCATTCTGAAATTCTGTCCATAATTTTATTTTGACATTCTACACATACTGTTTGACACATATTGTGTATTTTAGTGTGGTGAAAACATTAACTGTAGGTTACTTTTTACGGAAGATTCTCATCCTATCACAATACTTTATTTAACAGTAATAGCCATATTGATTTTTGGTCATAAGTAACTGAAAAACAAGAATATTGGTCATAGATCGAAGACTTATCGATCGAAAGTTAGGGGAACCCCTCAAAACAGCGCTCTTACTCCATAGTGACACCTTGTGTCCCATCACTAATTAATTAATAACTCGCTAATTATACGACATAATTTGCCCAAAATCAATAGTCTTCTGGTCCGAGATAAGATGAATGCATATACAAAATCTGGAGCAGAATTAATCTCGCTTTCGTGAGATATCGTGTGCATCTAACAGACATACAGACAGACAGACAAATACCTATCAACATACTTACCGATTAAAATCGATAAGTAACAATCAATTGAGATTGATTGTAGAACACAACATGCATTTTCTTATTCACATAAGTTTGTTCTAAGATCCTCAACTTTGTACTTTCATCTTTTTCCCCAGTGGTATTGACTTGAATTATTCCAAGTACATCATCAAGTATCAACTTATATTTATGATATCACACTGTTTATACATAGCTCTTTGTGTAACAGTGATTGTCTTTCTACATTCAGTTAAAGGTTTGCATGTTGCTTTGAGCGAACTTTTATAACAACATTTTTCCATACATTACATTGAAGTGTTGAAATTATATTTAATCTTCAACTATGTTAATCATTGTTCAGGTGGAACTCTTGCAAGTACGTCAGAAACTGGTTATCAAGCTATGAAAGGAATGAAAGGGCCTGGAAGTCAGTCATCTGCTGCAGCATTATCTCACAAAACGGGGAGTAAAAAGGTATTATATTTAAAAAACTTATCATTTCTCATATGACATATTGTGTATGTTGATTGTAAAAAGAGATCTTTTGAATTGTGAAGTATAAACAATTATACAAGCCAGAATCCCGGGTTCTCTCTACTTTACCCAGGGTGTGACAAATTGGGTAGGCAATGACGAACAGAAAGATCTTGGCCCTTCCAAGTTATATGGTTGTGTAGAGCGTTGTTTGGTTAAAAAGGCGTATAATTATGTCGTATAAAAAAAAACTTGGCTTGTTCAACTTTCATGTTCGGGGTTGAGAAAAAATGGATAAAATTATTATAATTCATGACAAAGTAATTCTGGATTTTGCTCGATCATTCGGTTATTGCATTGAGCATTGTATATCATCTGGCTGGACTCCATGTCCAACCCCCTAACTAAAGGTAGAATAATTTGGACACTTATATGCCTAAGTGAAATACTCCTGAGAAACATTCAGGTCCTTTTTCGAATTAATTGAGACATGAAACAACAGACAAAGAATGATTATCTTAACTCATAGCTACATTTTGTTTTGTGCAAAATGAAAAATAAAATTGGATTGAATTATAATTGCTGCTATCCAATATGCCATTAAATATTATTAATTATAATTAGTTCTACAAACTTATAATCAAATTATAACATTAGTCTTAATTGTATTGACATCGCAGATTAAACATCTTGGGTTCAATTCCCCACCTCACCCAGGTAGTGATAAATTGGGTAGGCAGGGTATGTCGAACAGGAAAGATTCTGTTCCTTCCGAATGAAAGTAGCTCTTACATATTGTTAGATATCTGTGGATGCATGTATAGGGCCTTGGAGTGATAGGCGTGCGTCTTGTGACCATCGTACAAAATATTTGTAAATATCGGGCAAAATTTTTTAAATATGTGTAATATCGGGCAAAATTTTCGATTAGATTTCCCACTTATACTTTAGAATGTATTTTCTAATGAAGACTGTGGACAAACAAGCAGTGTTGTCAGCATTGTTTTACTTTTATCTAACCAATAGTGTAACTAAGCTAACCTTTTTGCAGAGTTCTTCTATCACCAGAGGTAGTTTGCCAAATGCTTTATTGAAACGGGATCAAGCTGCCATATTTATGCCCGATAAAGAAATTATTGAAATTGACGTCAATATAAAACCTGATTTGTTGTCCTCGACATACAAGAGCACAACTATAAAATCGAGTGTTGAAACGGAAACAGGTATTTTAGAAAAGCTACTCAATATTTACAGATTGAGTGAATTGTCTATACAGATCTTACCATATTAGTCTGTTTTGTAAATTCCGGGTGACCAAACAAAGACAACCCATAAATTTTTTTATTTATTGTACAAAAATGAAGCAAAGTTATTGAACACTTTTGTTTGTGCATGATTGTACTTGGAAAGTTTCTATGATTCAGGACGCTTTGCACAAAGGTTATGTTCTCCCCAGAATATGTTCCAAATGACCTAAGTTCACTCTTTTTCTTCGAGTCAACATTTAATCTCAATTTGGAAGTTTCAAATATTTTCTCAGAATGTTTTGCTAAATGTTCATTAAATATGCCAAATTTTACTTATAGGCACTGTGAATAATAATTTAAATAATATATATTTTTAGTGACGGAACTTCAAAAGCTGTCAATTAAACCATCGCTGAAGGATAATTCACAAGAAAGCAGGTAGGCCTATTTGATGATTACATTTTTAATCAACATGCCTTTGATTGTGAGAAGATTATCAACTGATGAAATATCATCATTTTTACAGTTCAGTTAAGTCCAGTGGACGAGTTTCATTTCAAGATGAAACAGCGGAAGGAACGACTGAAGAGGAAACGGATGAAAAAGAAGCAGAATCGAAAGAACAGGAGGCAGAATCAGAAGAAGAATCGGAAGCTTCAGAAGAAACTGAGAAAGACGATGCTTGGCCAGAGGTTTGAGATTAAATTAACAAATACTGATACTTGATAAAAATCAATTCTGTTATAATAAACTATTTATTTTTTAGGAATTCCATTTGTGTTGTCCAATAATTAGCCAAAATGCCATTATCTGGTATTTTAACACCTTTATCTGAAACGAGGCTCTAGTAGACAAGTATCCACTGATACAGAAGATTTGCTTTTTTGGAAAGGATCACGGTCTTGTTTGACATTGCTTACTAAATTTATTACACTAGGGCAGAGATACTCAATTTCCCAAGTAAAAGGGTCGCATTTTAACCACAAAATATGCGAGGGGCCACAGAATATTATCATCATGTATTTATGCTATTTAATTTATTTATTCGTCCGATACTGATTTTGAATATTCTTCTTGTATTCATTTTTATGCATTCTGAAACATAGTTAATGGATAGCATTCGTAAGTTTGCAGTTGCAACTTCTCCCCTAGCAAGAACTAAGACAGAATTTGACAACATAGGAAAAATATAATTACCGGTATACTCACTACTATACTAATTATACAGGGTGTCCAAAGAGTTTCGCCCGATTATAAAGTCTTTATAATCAAATGTTTTTTTTTTAATTTTGAAAAAGAATCATAGTTAACCTGTTTTTAATTGGATGTTATAAATGTTGAATATTGCAGTCCCCATTTATCATACAACAAAATTTATTCAAATTTGAAACTGGTAATGCTATGAAATCGGGCGGAACTTTTTGGAAGTAACTTTTTTAAGTAACTCAATTTTTACTAAAAAAAAAATACATAATTAATCTGTTTACTGTGATGACACAATCCATAGTCTTATCATGCGCTGTACTGGATGAGAAGAATGATACCGTATAGCAAAAAATCGTTTACATTTGTTACGCCACACATATCATGATATATGTTAGGGTTCATCAAAGATCTTTGCGGGCCACAAAATACGCATCGACGGGTTGAGAACCCCTGCCTTAGGGTAACGCAATGGGCATGCAGTGTACATCCAAGATCTCTAACCTGAGATGTCAGCATGGTGGAGTCCAATACTGTAACTGTTAGGTTAACATTGTTTTTTATAAACTATGAGTTATATTGACACCACGACATGAAATTTCTCATCTTACGTGAAATAATCATTATTTTGGAATTAAACTTTAAATTAATCACATATTTCACGTCACGACTTAATAATACAACATTAATTGTCATGGTAAATCATACTTTACCAGAATTTTGTTCGTTATCTCAAAGACCAAAATTTGCTCTCTGCTTTCAAGTCTATCAGGTGATTGGTCAAGTTTAAGTTGAGTCATATTAAGTCATTAAAAATGGGATTTGAATTTGACTCAAGTCACCCCAAAACTGCTATAGGCAAAACTAGTTCTTGCTGCAAATTTTTTTGCCAATAATTTCCCAAGTAGCCAACATCTTAGTTATTAAATATAAATATGGTTTTATCAGCGAAACATAAATGAACTATGGAATTGATAAATCTCTATTTTTTTTTTTTTATTTAGCCTACTAAAGCTGATTTACGACCGATTTCAAGCAGATCTGCCAAGTTAACTGAGCATGCTCAAAAGGTTCGTTTAAATTGTTTGCAATTTCTCAAATTTTCTTTTTATTTATATTTGAAGTCAGTCATATTATGTGTTACATAAAATTCATAATATTTATAAATGATTTTAGCAATGTGAATAATTTTATATTTTTTTTTTTGAATGAGCAATTGCATTTTGTTTGCTTCTTACCAGGTACACATGCAGTGCTATAAATAAGCCAAGTAGAAACCACTTTCTATCAACTAAGTTCAGAATTACATACCGGTAATCCTTAACACCAATTAATTGTGGCTTCCATAAGAGAGCATTGCTTGAATGTATTGGCACAAATGTCATATCACTAGTATGTTCATCACATTCTCAGCAGCATTCCATACAAACATTGAAAGAATTTTATTAAATATCATATGAATGTGCACTGAATATTGTATACTAGGGTTGTGAAAAACACCAAAATTCAGGATGAAATATTCCCTAATCTCAATGAGTTTAGAAAATTGCCAAAATTCAGCATGAAATATTCCCTAATCCACATAGGAAAAAAAAATTCAGGGACTTTCTTAACGTACTAAAAAGTTGAAATCCATTTGTTCATTAGTTGCAGAAAAAAGGCAACTTTTCCACACCAAAGAAGATAAAATATCATATTTATCTGGGGAAGTAAATAAGATGGCGTAATCATATGGCATAACACAGCCCATTGTCCAGTTACCAATCCATTTCAAGTATATGATTAGGTAGCTAGAAATTTGTTTCAGATGCATAGACTTGATGGCAGAAGAGTCTTGAACCATCCTATGATTGCGAAGAGTCCAGCAATACTCTTGCTTTCAAAGATTGGAACCTGCAAACCAGACACCGGGTAATCAGAGGTGTGATGAAAGTGTATCTATAGGTCCATTCCGTGTCCGATTACAATATTCTCTATTAGACTGGTGTTCCTTGTGTCATTCCCTGAGATAAACACAATTGCTGTTATAGAGATTTAGAGCCTTGATTGTAGCGAAGCTAGGAAACAATGCATATAAATATGAAACAACATTTACAGCGAAGCTAGGAAACAATGCATATAAATATGATAACATTTACAGGTTGCACAGATTGTTATTGAAGGTCAACGGACTGACTCAAGATTAGAAGAAGACGCAACAGAAGCTGCTAAATTGTGGAATGCTGTTGCTAAATCACAAGAAGGTTCAAGTGAAGAGGAAAGTGAGGATGAGGTCTGTAAACAGGCTTACAGTACTTTGCGAATTATGCTGAATATTAGAACATGCTCACATTAGGATGGTATTTATAATGGAATTAATATTTCATTCTTTGCGATATCATATATAGTGAACGTAGGATTTTCAGAAGAAATAAGAATTTTTTCAATCAAAAATTTATTATTATATGCATTCATCTAATGGTCAGACATAAAATAGATATCTTTTCATTCCTGACACTCTAAAATTTCAAAACTATTATATGCATTCAAAATTCAATCTATTGATTTACAAAAATTTCTGCAAAATTTTATGTTGAACATCAACCAATTTATAATATATTCAATATTTCATATTCAAAAATATTATTTTAGAATGAATTTGGACATAGCCACACTCACCATGATACTGCTTAGTGCTTATTACCCTGCATGGGCTTCAGGGGTTTCAACATTTTGCTTTTGTTCAATGGGTAATAAGCACTAGTCATTAACTGCTTCCACCACCTTTCGTATCAACTCATTTGAGCAATTATCTGTCTATTTCTTTATCAAATTTAAACTGGCAACAGGACAAATGTCATTTGTTAATTTTCAACTTTTCGACAAGAAATATGAAAACCCCACGCTACTCTTGTGACCTATAGCCCTTGGACTTTACTAACCTAGTATTCAGACACAAGGGTGCTTTCATATTCGATTTTCTTTGCAGTAAATGTAATCAATGTAAAACTAATTTAAAACTTACAGAGTGAAGAAGAGGATGAAGAAAGCAGTGCAGCATGGAATGCTGACCAGAATCAAGGAGAAGTAATGAACTATTCTCATTCCACTTTTCAATTTAGATTTCCTACCTTTTTTAGATCTTTTCATAAACCCATGCTGTTTAAGTAGAAACAGTATGGATTGGGTATCCATATAAATCATCCTTTTATCAAATTTTGAATCAAAAAGATAACTTTGAATAATTCAAAACAAAATGTATATCTATCTTATCTATCTTAAGCTAGCTATCTTATCATTATTCTTCACCCTATTTTACTTAGGAACGGTACTTTCGCATGAAAACTTTATAGCTAACAGATTATATCAAACATACATAGTGCCTTTGATGAATTGAATTTGATGATACACTTTGGGTTAGTAAAGACTTAGTAGATGGATTTAATAAAGTCAGGAAGATGGAAATAGTTGGTACATGATCTGCCATAATTAGGGTCTCCTTATGACAATTGCTGTAATATATATTTTATAAAGTAATAAATGTTGTATGAATGTATATAGGAAAAACCAAAACAAGAGGAAGACCAAAAAAGCTCCCTCAGTGGCAAAGACAAAGCACTGAAAAAAATTGATCAAAAACCACCAAAACAAAAAGAGATAGTCGCACGAAATAAAACTGTAACGAAACCACCTCCAGCTGTTGCTGCGTCTGTCAAGTCATATAAATCAACTAGTTCGGGAAAAACGTCAATATCATCAGTGCAAGTAAGAATTGTTAATTTTCGTTTATTTTTATCTAAATTCAGTAATATTCAGTTTTCTAGCTTTTTCTCTTTATATGTGTTTTGATGGTGATGAAAATGTAGACCATTCTCTCACATTCTGTCCAATTGTTCCTTTTTTAGTTCCATACCATCTATACAATGACACTTTTCACTTCTGTGCAGTTAGGCCTTTAGTCGATATAACTGTCATACCTGATACTGGCGACTGGGCTCAACAATAGCTAACTCAATGGATTTTTGAGGCATACTTGGCATTAATGAATGGGTTTTTGGCAGTCTGATGGGAGTGTATATGTATAACTCTATCATCAAACATTTGTTATTAGGCGTATTTAGATGTTTGGTTTCCAAGATTGTCAATATATCGCCGAGGTCAAGTTCACTTCAAAATGGTAAGATGCTATTTCAGCACAGGCATGTTTTATTTTGAATCAGGGATCACTTGAATTCTAATCACATTTTATGCAATTATTTCTGTTTTTTATTTTTAATTTCCATGACAGGATTTAATTGCAATTGAAAATTTAACTTTTTTAATGTCTTTGTCACTATATTGCATGGTGCGCACATACTAACTGTGTTATCTTGGACTATGATTTATATGTTATTTCAACAGTGTCTTTTTGAATGTTTCTACTTCCCAAGGTTGAATACCCATCTTACTTAATATGTATCTATGACTAAATAATAAAATTTGTCAATGATTTCCACTATCAGACTATATTTTCAAGTTCCAAAATTTGGTTTCAAACACATGATTTGTACTTCTATTTCTACAGTAAATATTTTGTGATAATGAGTCTTGTATAACATAAGTAAATTACTTAACGATAACCTTGGTTTTTGTCAAAACCCTTAAGAGAGCATCAAATTTTAATTGGGGGTAGCCAAATAAGTGAATTTAAATGACAATTGAACTTATTAGTATACAAAATAAAGTTTTTTCTACTTTTGATAGATGAAATTACTGTTTTTCAAAGTAAAACTTGACATATATCATGACTGGCTTAAAATTATATCCATTCAGAATATTCAAATTTTAAATTCCAGTATATCTGGCTATTGTATTCAGTTATAGCCAGTTTTTTTATGGGTTAGAAAGAATAATGTCCTCATCTGAGCAGGCTAATTCTGTAATACTGTTTTGGCTAAGCAATCACAAATGAACTAATTTGCCACCAATATGAAGTGCTATATATTAATACACTAATACATCTTGATTACTGAATCTACATGGGTTTGTTGCAATCAAACTGACTCGAAAATGTAATCTAGATTTTGTTTTGATTCTTTCATCATATTATTGAATCAATAACCTGCTGAAAAGATATATAAATATTGATTGAAGATCACATACTCATTGATATAAATTTCTGCACACATTTATGTCTCAATCAATGTATATTTTTTGTGTTTTGAGCAGCAAAATAATAGACTTTTGTTGCGCATAAAACAAGTTTACCAAGCTATTCCTAGATCATAGACTAACTTTTTTAGATTTATTGAAGGTTTAACTAAAGAAGCTACTACTATGAAACCTGGACAGCTGTGTAAAACTTGTAGTGTTATGCAATACCGAGAATGAATTTCTGTGGTTTTTTACTTTTTACTATATACCATTGGTTCCGTCATGTCTTTTTGGCCAAAGTTATATATGGTTTAGTGATAATGAATCGTATAAAAGATGAGTAATTTTGTCCACTTTTCCTCCAGATTCAAATTAGATTATATGATTTCACTGTCAGGTAGTGAGACAGAAGTATTAGCTGATGGATGACACATTTATTTTAGTATTTTGAATTCAATGAAATATTGCTACTTTCTTACCAACCAGGGCTATGCAACTGGAAGATTTAACCTGTTATCTATTCTCATACCTATCTGTGGCTAGAAAGCAGATTTGTGCCTTTGGTTTGCTATACTTTTTAGCCTTATTACTACTTTCCTCCGCTTTATGATATATAAAACAATCCTAACCTAATACATTTTAGGAAGCTTTTGTCAAGGAAGTAAGACGTAAAGCAAGCGAACTTGGTATTGATGAATCCGAACTTCAGTTTGATGCTCAACTTGTTGATAAGGTGTACAACTCGACAATTGAACCTGAGGAAGTAGAAGTTTTTCATGATACTGATGCTGGAAAACATGTTGGTAAGAAATGAAATTATACTGTTTTCTTTCTTTGTAATTTGTTAGTCATTATATTATGTTTTTGAGGTTATATTGGGATTTATCATCCAGGATTTAAATCTATGCTTTTGTCGCAGGCTAATCAGCAATCTCATGTCATGTTCTAAGTTTGTGCATATGGACGGATTAACTGTTTATCAACAATTTTATTTCGTAAACTAGACTCGTACTTGCTCAGAAGCTGTAGCGCAGTTGAGCGTTAAAGATTAAAATCTTATCTAAATGATTATTGTATTACCCCAACTTTAAGAATAAGTCATATTTTCCTATTTGGGATTATTTTATGCTGTTTATTTAGTCAATTGAGACTTATCTTTGTTTTAGTTCGATCAAGACATAGTTCTGTGACAACAAAGTCTATAAAAACAGACACAACAGAGACAAGTACCTCAGAAAAGAAAAAGAAGTTTGTCATCGACCTTCCTACACAGGAAATCACGGTTTGTAATTAGTTTCTGAATTAATTTAATTTAACAACTTTTAATAATATTTGGACAAAATAGGCAGTAAATATATTAAAATTTGAAATAAATTTCATTCCATTCCAAGACCTTTTTATGCATAATAATAAGTTGCACGTTATGCAGCCTATTCAATGCCATTCACAGTAAAAATCAGGTACTTTTTAATGTGCACACCCACTTCGGATTTCTGGTCTCCTGATACCGCTTGACCCATTGCTTCCAGTTAAATGGCTTTTTTTATTTCTCAGAATGTGTTCTTTTTCTTTTAGCCTACTTTTTCCAATATTTTTTTAGAACCATTATTTGCTTGTACCATACTAATCCATTTTTCTTTTAATGGTGTCAGTAAAGACATAGAAGGCGAAGCCTCGTTATTATTGTAAGTATTTTGTCTACACAAAAATAGCACGACACAACAGGAAAAAATGGCACTATTTCACATTGCCTTTTACTTGTTATAATTTTTCACCATGTATTCTTAGCCTATGATAATTCATAGTGCACCTGTTATATTAAATTCATTATTTGCTACTACACGGTTAGTAAAGGTACTCAGATGATACATACCTTCTGTATATATTTTAACTTGAGATTGTTTACAAAGCGAAGTTATTTTTGGACTTGCAAATTCAGACTCAAGAAACTGCATTCAGTAGTGCTCAGTACAAACTACATATCAGCATGGAAGAGCACAATATTTAGAAAGTTATACATGTCATGCATATAGCTAGTATCATGGGACTAATCACAAATTCCCAAGTCACTGTTTCTTGCACAACTCTGATATTGTACATTGAACTGCAGGTCCTTGAATCTTGTTTGCTTCTTATTTCGAATCACCGTTGCCACAAGGCTACTTCAACGAGTTAGTTGAAAATGACAATACATAATATTCCATTTTATGGTAATACCTAGTCAATATGTCAGATCATAATCTAACTTATTTGAACCCAACAATATATACCTTAAGCATAACTTAGGCAAGCAGTTAATTATTCAAACAAAAGCTCACAAATATACTTGCTATTTCATGGAGAGAGGTTATGCTTAAGTATCACTCTATCTCAGTTTTTCTTAACCTTTTTTGCAGCATATTATACCCCAAAATTACAAGATTTACCCCCAATATAGCCATTGGTAATTGGTATTACCAATTTGGTTATTATTTATTAAAAATTCATCAATCGAAATATAAAGAGCTCTAACTTTAGACGCGAAGTCTCTCTATATTTCCCTTCTCTTACCTTATATTCTCCTCTTCACTGAGATTCAGTTCGACGCGAAAAATGTGTGAAGAAGGAGCGGTGGGGGAGAAAAAAGGAGGAGAGTGGCTGGAGAACGTAGGAATGGAAGTGGAAAGAAGAGAGTGTTTGGGTGGGAGTGTGACGGGAGGAGGTAAGAATGGAAGTGGGAATGAGAAAGCGTTGGGTGGGAGTGTGACGGGAGGAGGTAAGAATGGAAGTGGGAAGGAGAGAGTGATGGGGTGGGAGAGTGACGGGAGGAGGTTGATGGGGGGCATGATTGAGGGGGAGAAGAGTGGGGGCAGAATATAGGGGTATAAGAGTGCAAAGGTTTCAGATCGACGACTGCCTTGTTTTCTGGCAACGATATCCTCAATGTTTGGTGACAAAGAACTCAAAGTTGTTTTCAATTTCGATTGAGATATAGGCCTACTGATAACAAGAGATCTATGCTCAAATATATGGACAAGGGAGCAAAGCGAAATTTTTTATCGTCAATTCCTTGAAAATCTTCGCTGTAACTTATGGGTACCAGTACTCGTAGGGCTCTCTGGGTAACGATACAGAGACTAGCCCAGCTTATGTATAAATGTTACAAAAAGCGCGTTTTGCACTTTAACATGTACATATCACATTTGCAAGGTACCGTTATGCTTATAAAAACAACTGCTGATTGGCCGCGGTAGCTTGTCTTTACATCAAATATTGATATAATTCGACGAAATACAGGACTATAATCTCATTACTGAATTTGTCTTACAGTGCAATTATTTCCTACCTACGGAGCTTTTAAAAATAATTTTCAACTTGAAGTGCAAGGAAGGAATCAATGATCTCTTCTAATGACACCTATCAAATCTCTATTGCTATGCGTGTTTTTTCCCAACTTGAATTATTAACTATTGTCACGCAATGATAGGCCCATCACATCAGCCTTTCCAATAATAGGCTAATACCTATTTCTTGCAAGATAGCTACAAATCACACAATGTTTCTCACACCCAAACAAGCATATAGATCATAAGATAGATATAGATCATATAGATCTATAAGCATATAGTTTTTGTTTATTCTAGTTTTATTTTTCACAATAACTAAATTTACCCCTAAGAATGACGAAAATTACCACCAGGGTAAATTTACCCCAGGTTAAGAACTGCTGCGGCCTGCGAGTCTATCTTATTCAAATTGCTTTACTTGCTTATATATTTGCTTGTTATAGCAAATATTCTTCGCAACATATAAACTCATCATGAACATATATTACAGTTTGACTTAGCAAAAAGTAATTCTGAGGGAACTTTTTAAGAGAAAATTAAGTAAATTTACCCCCATTTGTGTAAAATATCTGGAATTTGTAAACCCCCAGATGAGATTGTTTTTTTTCTTGTTTTTACTTTAATTCTTTCATCCCAGTATGAAATATGGAAATCATCTGGATATTTTGTGTTTTTATATGGCTTATCATTGAATTTTAGCCTTTTTTTTCCTATTCTGGGATATCTGTATGTGCGTTTCTCTTCAAATAGAATATTAAATTAATTATATATTCATTCTTTTGAGATAGGTAACTATGCGTATAAAGTGAACATTCCAAATCTGATATTTCTTTTTAGAGCAATATTTAAATAATATCTCCCTTGCGTACATTTCTTTCATTTATTTATTTCATTTTATTTTAATGTAATTTTCTCCACAGTAGACATGATTGTAAACATTGACCCACTTTGTGTGATGTTTATTCCTGAGGAAGTATGGGATTTTTCTATGCTCTTATTTATATACATAATAAATCCTACTCCGATATAGATTTTTGCCTGAACACAATTAGGGATAAAAACAACACCTAATAAAATTAATATGTGGAAATTTGTTACATATTCAATTTTGACTTTATTTGGCATTATTTGGAAATTATCACTATTGCTGTTATTATTGTGTTCACACAATTTTGGGTGAATTGCACGAATTTGTTAATAAATCATTCATATATTTGCACAGTTTGCTCTGTTTGGAGAAAATTGGCTGCAAGTCATTTTTTGGGGGAATTCTCTGAATATGTTTTGATAATACGAAAAATTCATGAATTGGAAGAAAAAATTGTATATTATTAAAATGAAATGGTATCCGAACATTCGAAACATTATTTATAGCAGAAATACATCTCAAGGTAGTGTGGTTTTGTACAAAACCATGTGGAGACACTGCTTTGAAAGGAAAATTGTGCATGTATAGTTATTGTGGTATAGATCATTTCCAATGCAAACTGGAGAGTACACTTTACATGAGACACTTTATTTATCAACATTATTAATGTTATCTATTCCATTCAATAAATGTTTTCATTTTATCACAAGCTCAAGTAATATTTAAATATGCCCACCTCAACTCAATATAATTCCCTACATGTTTTTCCTTTATATAGGAAAGATGAATTTATATATTTTTAGGTGCTTTTGTTTATGATATTCTTTACTAATGTAACTTTTGCAAATTTCCAGGCACATTCTGTAACACCACATCACTCTGTATCTACTACATCATCCACTACTGCCTCACCTACTTCACCCTCAAGATTTAGAGCACTTAGTCAATCAAGTAGTGTGCACTCCAGGAAACGAAAGTATGAGATTTATTGTTTTATCACTATATAAAGATGTTTATATGTGAACAGTTTGGTTTTATTCAATTTTTTCTTAATTATTATGTGGAATAATTTTGCAGCAAGCTTAAAATATAAACACAAGTTCATTTCACACAGTACAAATCAAGCAGGCTTCCAAAGAAAGAAATATATATATTTTTTTTTTCTGATGAGTATTTATATTTTTTTATATATTCATGTATTTCTTCTACAATACCTTATTGAGGTAAGCAAAGTGCTAGCAAAAACTTGCCAAAACTTTTATTATTTGTAATGAAATTCTGCTCTTTTGTTGCTATAAACTTTTAACCTTATGCTATTCGAGTATCGTCGGGACACAGGGGTCGCACATGGGTCAAACAGGAGGCAGTTAGTCACATTACCCTGCAACACATCTATTGAAATAGATACCAAATTTTACTTCGTAACATTTGGCATAAATGATGATTTTACAAAAATTGCTGGATTACCGTTAATAGTAAAAAAATTAGAAATTCATTATTCCTGAAATAACAATATCTTTGAATTGAACTTTATTCTCTCCTATTGCAGATGCTTTCGCTAAGGCTGGCTGGGTTATCATAATGAAGGAATTAGCAGTGACTGTTAATTGTTCAGACTGAAAATATATCATTTGTGAATCTGCTATATTTGTAGCTCTGCATACTTTTTCATAATTAAGGTCTTCAATACCTGGTAAGGAAGAAAAAGATGTTTCACTAGAATATGAATTGACATCATATGAAGCCAAACTGGGTGATCCCAAACCAGAAGAACCAGTCACAGTCATGCCCAGACCAAAACTAGAACCAGAAAAGCTTGTGGAAACTCAAGGAAAATCTGATGCAAGAAAACACAAGGGGAAAAATCATTAAAAGAAGAAAAGTTAAAGTCTAAAGGCAAGATGGCTAAAACCACTGGCATCACAGAGTCAAAAGGTTTGTTTGAAATATAATATTTCATCTAAATATAGATTTCTAGATAAATAATTGGGAGATTAATTTTGAAAATAAATTTTCTATAACATAATTATTATTTTTCTGTGCATGCAAGGAATCACCAGCCTCGTTTTTTGCTGCGAGCAAATTCAAATTATGAATGGATCCACAGTGAAATCTTTGTTTATGCCTAATATTATCCTAAGATGATCGCTTAGTTCTTCGGTGAGCCATATTTTGTCCAGATACCAACCCAGGTTATCTATGCAATCATTTGATCAATTCAATATTCCAGATTACCTACCTTGCATAGGATTTCACACTCTTAACAGATTTGAATCTTGTAGAGATAACAAATTGCAGATCCAGGATAGCTGGACTTTCCATCATTACAAGGTGTTTATCTAACTTGGAATCTCAAAACTGGCTAACTAATTTCATACCAACCTGGAAGTTGACTCATTAGTCCCCCTCAGAGGCAAATAATGCAAAATAATCATATTTTTTAGAAATTGCAGAAAGTGTCAGCTCAGACAAAGACAGTGTAAAACCGAAACAAACAGCGGAAGCTAAATCACAGGTATAGTGTTCTATTTAAATGTTTAACAACATTCACAATTTCAGTAAAAAAGCACAAAAATGCAAGTTTCGCATGTATTTTTTAAATTTTGAGTAGCACAAATTTTACACATTTACTCAGAATTAGGGATGTTCATATTCAAATAGATTAGTATTATCATATTCATCTCATTTACAATTAATTAAGACCTAAAGATATGAATTATATTTTTGCTCTAAAGCAGGGGTCAGCAAACTACTACAATACAATTCGTCTCGCGACGCTTTACTGAATTATAGTAACAAAACAGCTGTTTTGACGATTATATTCTTTACGTTACATATTCTTTACGTAAACTAGATTATATTATAACGTAACAAGTATATATTTCACAATTACTCGTTTAATGAGCCTATAATTTAATTATAATTAGACAAATGGCAACAAAACGCAGAAAAGGTAACGCTGAGTGCAAATGGTTTAATGGCGCAGAAAGTATCCAAATGGTCAGTTTTCGCGCGCTGCTTAAAATTTAACTTCTGATCTGCGCGGAAAAATTTGATTCATCAGCAATCCATTCAGTTTTTAACTTTCTAAAAATATGTGCAGCCTGTCAATGACTTGCATCCTTCAATTTTAGCCCGCGGGCGACAAAAGTTTGCCGACCCCTGCTCTAAAGTGATGATTGTGGCGAACAAACAGTAATTAGAAAAAAAACATTTTTGAATATTCAAGTTTGGACATCCCTATAAATTGTACATGAATCTAGTTTTTTTTTTCACACAATGTTTTAAATTATGACAATTTGTGAAGGAGCTATCACCTCTACCTGTAACCACAAAAGTTACAGAAAATAAAAATGAGTTAAAAAAGCCTGGAGATTACACCATGGAGAAAGCTGTTAAACAGAAAAAGAAAAGGGTATGACAGAATACACAAAAATCAATTGAAAATCATGATTTAGTGATTAATATTGATTCTGTATTGATCATTTGATTTACCAATAATTTTTTATGATAATTGAGTTATTGTCTTCAAATAATTCTTTTAGACCTAAAGTATTTATTTCTTTAATCACTTATTCTTTGGTTTTAATTGTTTTTGTTCCATAATTCTGTGTCATGGGTTCTTGGTAATTACGAGAAAGAGCAAGAAAACTTGTATCATTGAAAAAGGTAGCTAGAGATCGTGCTAAACGTCAGGAATACGCTCGCCCCCACACATCTGATTACCCTGAGTGGGTTTCAATCAAGTGGGGGAGATAATTATGTACGGGAGGATTGCTAGACTCTTGGCCCCGTTGGATGGTTCACGTAACCGCTCAGGGTCGGTTATGGCTTCCGAAAACAACCACCATGCATCTATAAACAAAAAATAACTGGCTGACTAGTCTGGCAACTGGAAAGAAGTCGTGTTTCGACATATGATTTAGCCGTCCTATCGACTTTTTCCTCCCCACTGGATAAATATGGAAATCATATCCTAATCTCAAATACATTTTGTCACATTATCTGTCAAATTTTTATATAATTTTCTGTTTTCTCGTTTCTTGCCTTATTTTATATGTGTCTAACCTTTTTTGACTATTTTTGCATGTTTTTGTTATAATATCAATAATATGAATATCAATCCCATATGCAATTGACTCTTGCAGCATACTGTTCTTAGAAATTAGGAGCACTCAATTTGACTGTTTTTAATCACTCAATGCTTACTAGTAATAATTACTTTAATGAAAACTTTTTTCGAGTTGAGAATTATCATATATTATTATATTTGATGGAGATTATTTAGGCAGCTTGAGAGTGCAATTTAACGTACATGCTGGAGAATAGACTAAATTAAAAAAGCCTTTTATAATTATTTATAGTTGTGTAATCATATGTGAATTCCTAGTTAAACATCACATACATCATTAAATGAAATTATTTGAGCAATCTTCACTCCTTCATATTTAAGTCAAAAAAATACTGAGGAAATTGTTTTATTATATTGAACCTATGGCAGTTTTTAGGCATGTGTTGTGCCTATTAGTGTTTTTGTGGATCTCTGTTCTCTAATTCAACTTCAAATTCTAAAGCTTGCTGAATTTAATTGATTTAGTTTTCAATCCACATGAAATGGAATAGCTGCATATATCATGCTTTGAATCACAATTAACTTGCTTCAGAAATTTATTACATGACTTATATATCCAAAGATTTCCTATCTGTCTCAAATTCTTTATTTAGCTGTCTTATAAAACAAAGTTATTTTAATTGCAGAAAAAAGGCAAAAAAGGAAAACAAGAAAAAGAGAAAGCCAGTAAAGCGGGTGTGAAAAAGGAAACTGACCGATTGCCTGTATCACCAGAGAAACCTCGTCCTAAGACACCAGGTACTAGCAAACAATAGAAAAACTTTATTTTTAATGATAATCGGTTTATGTCATTCCTGTTTACTCTGTCATTTAAAACACTTGAATTAGCAACAGATTCATATTACTGGTTAATGTTTTATTAAAACTTTACGTTTTATGAGATCTTTCATGAGACTTAAGGTGCATGAGGCCATACACACATAGCATGAAAGAACTGGAATCTTAGCGGTAAAATCCACAAGTCATCCATATTCTTCGTTTAATATTCAGAAGTTCCTTTTGTTGCTGGTCGTGCCAAAGAAAACAAAGTACCTAAAGGATTGCAATCACCACCGCATACACCTTCAAGTGTGAAAAAGGATAGGAAGACACCTGGTGCTGGTGACACATCAAAAGTAAATTGTCTTTTCTGACATCGACTTACTTTACATATTTTCAATGTTTATCATTTTACTAAATAAAGGGTTGTAGGAGTTATTGACAAACTGTCACACCTAATTTTAATTTTTATTCAATTTTAATTTGGTATTCGATTGTTCGCCATTGGTCTAAAAATATATTTCGCAATCATTACCCTTCAAAATTTAATTTAAATACAACATACCATAGTCATGTCATGGCAATTGTACTTTTTTTAATCTTAATATTTCCTCTTTTTTTTTCCAATTTTCAGGAGCCAAAAACACAAGTAGAATTAGAGGGTAAAATGCAAAAAGGTAAAGTTTCCGAAGCAAAGATAAAATCAAAGTCTGGCAAAGGAAAAGATGCTGTAGCTGCTGAAGGAAGTAAGATTTTGTACTGAAGTGAAAAAAAAACAGTTATTATATACATCTACATTTTTTATGAGTCTTGTCTGCGTCTTTCTCTTTAAGCAAGGCAACTGCTGATATCTCACGATGTAAGAGCTATTTATTGGAGGGCCCGGAATCTATCTGGTTCATGCATTGCCTACTCTATTTATGCACGGGGAGAGGCGAGAGACATGGGATATTATCCCGGAATGTGTAATCTGCGATAGCAACCAAGTTAAGTCGAACGATTTAACCACTAGTCCATCACGCCATGCTTATATTTTTTCATAATATAAATTCTCTGCATATTTTAAAATTTTATTTAAACACCTTGTTATAGTATCTAAATTTGTATTTAAATGGGCTTGTTTCACTTGGAGCACAGATAAAATTTGTTGAATGGTTATTTTCAGAGACCAAGAGTCCGGAAGCAAATTCTCCAGTTAAATCTGAAAGAGCGAAATCTGAGACACCATTAGATGAATATGAACAACTCTCTCCTATTCCTGCTGAATCGTGAGATTGTTGTATTGTTACTTGCATTTATATATGCATTTGCGCTTGACGTTTTAATTCTTCGAGAGCCATGTTATAGTTTTTAAAGCCAGAAAAACAACAACAAACATCATTGGTGTAACTCAACAGCTTTGTGAAATAAAAACACTTTGTTTTTCAGTTAAAAGTATATAGTTAGTAAATAATTGCATTTGATAATTTTTCAGGCCTGAAGATGATTATGCATTTGTTCGAGTTGAAGAAACACCACTGCCAAGTGAACCCGAGGAACCAGTTGTTGAAGAGAAACAGGATGACGAAAAATCTCAGGTTTCTGATCAAACTGCACCAACTGAGGTATTAATGTTTTATGATATGTATATTTTTTCAGCTGAAAACAAGCTAAATTTTTGTGGTACTCCCTTAGTGTGCGTACCAGGTAAGGTTAGGCCATAATTTTATCCCGATTTTCCTTATTTTAGTTCTATTCTGAGTTCGGGGACTGTCTGTGTTACCCAAGTGAATATACCCCCTGCCCATAGGCTGTCGTCCCTTTACACAACTTGATGTGAAGTAGGCTAACAAAGTTAGTAACCTCCATATTGGTACACACACTTTTGGAGCGCTAAATTTTGTACTCTTATTAACATGAAAGGTTTTCAGTTTTTTTATTCGAGGATTTGTAACTTTGCAACTAATAGTCAATTTACCAGGATCCCCGAGATTCCTATCATTAGAAATATTCAATAAATTCTTATCGTATGCTGTTTGCAAAACTCATCAGATGCACCAACACAAAACCAGACAGAACAACACCCAGATTACATATTTTTCCCATTAAAATATAAGATTTTGTTTTCACCAGACTACTGATAACACCGTTGAACTCTTGAAAGCTGCAGAAGACGAAGCAGAAAATGAAGCCAAACTAGCAAAAAAGAAAGAAAAAGAAGAAAAGAGATTGGCTGCTGCTGAGAAGCGGCGTCTTGAAGTTGAGAGAAAAAGAAAAGAAAAAGAAGAACAAGCGAGAAAAGAAAAAGAAGAGTTGGAACGACAAGATCAAATGAGGTTTGTTGTCAATCACATTTGACATTTGTATTGTAGTAATTGACTAATTTATTCGACAGTAAATGAGAAGCATATATATCAGCACCTTCAAACTTGTTTGATATGTCTTGTTCTATGATTGTCTGGTGGGCAGCAGGGTTCAATCGTAAGACCCTTTTTGTTTTTAGTTTTTATTATCTAATCATTTTGTTACCATTTGAAATCATAAATTTTGTTTTTTTACTTTACTTCCTTGTGAAATAGTTGAAAGCTCGACATCATATCTTTAGAGATTGACTCTCATGTTCTTGAGTAAATCAATGGCCACTGCTTAAATAAGATTATAATGTTTGTCAATTTCTATTTCATGCTTGAATTTTGAATTTTGAGTTCTTGTTGTTGTATGTATATTGTATAAATTAGGTTAACAATAACTTGATCCGTGCTCATGTGCACCATTATAGTACCAATTTATTTATTTCAATACATTTAGAGAGGAATTGGAAAATGAAAGAAAGAGGCGAGCAGGGGAGATGCAACGAAAAAGAGAGGAAATGGAAAAAGAAAAGGAGAGAGAAAAGCAAGAAGAAATTATGAGAAAGAAAAGAGAAGAACAACAAAGAGAGAGAGAGAAAAGATTGCAGGTATTTTTGATTGTATTATCTGTCTTGAAATTCACATAAAATCTTGACCAACAATACCAGAATTGTGCCATTACTTATGAATACAAAATATTCATCTTTTCAAAAATGCTAAATATTTTTCATTCGGTACCTTAGCACGCTTTTCACTCAGAACGAGGCCATTTAAAAGCAGTCGATGATACAAAAGCAGCAGCTTATTTCGGAATGACTAGAATTATTCTTGTTTGGCATTTCCTACCCATTTATTACACCAGTGGTCAGCATGGAATTTGTACCTGAGATGGGTAATCTTTTGATGCCAATATTGTTAAATTCAGCTTTATCCACTTGGCCATCACGCTCACAAATTTCTGAAACAATAAACAAAGTCTGGATTATAATAAATATCTTTGTTTTTTCTTATAACAATTGAGTCCCATATTAAATAAATTGATCGCACATCAATATTTTCCATCAAGTTCACTCAAAGATAATAATTACTGGACTTATATTTATGCAGAAATAATTTGACAAATTTCATTACTTATAAGCACTTTTTATCACCTCCAATTCACATGGTGATTTTTGACATATCATCATGATCAATTATTTCAGGCTAAAGGTGCTCTACTTCGGGTGTTAGAAGTTTGATAAAACGATCTTAATTCTGAGTAGGCTTATTCATCTAAAAACTTATTTTCCATTTAAAACTATTTTCAGGAGGAACACAAAAGAAAAATGGAAGAATTACAAAAGAAAAAGAAGGAAGAAGAAGAACGAAAAGCCGAAATTGCAAGAATAAAAGCAGAAGAGGAAGAACAGGCTCGGAAAGAGGTTTGCCTTTGTTATTACTTTGTTAATTGTATTTTAGAAAAATACACTTGAAATTTTTAACTTGTTGATTATTCTTATGTGGACTATACCAATTAGGCTGCATATGATTTTGCCAAGGAGCGACAATCCTCTACTTTAGAAATATTATGAAACGATCCCATCTTATCTAATTACAGTAGAAGAAATGCTATTGACACCTGTTTAAAATTTGTATCTTCGTTTGTGCAATGAAACTTGGAATTGGGCAGAATAAATGAGAGAATGATCTCATGTAGTGACTCATGGCAGTAAGAGATTTTAAAAGACCCAAATCGTAGTATGAATGAACAAACTAATTGGATTGACAAACTAGACCCACACAATACCTTATCTAGACTGTCTAGATGAGAAAACAATAGCTCAATATATATCAGAACGCAAGAAATTTAATGACCCTTCTTTTCTTGCATTTCTCTCACAGTCTCCTTAAATTATAGCTCCAGGATGCTCAATGCAATCCATGTGCATATATCCACACTCTCCAACAAACTTCTGTTTTGGTTTTTAATGGTGGTTAAAGCAAAAAATGCTAATTGACATATAGGTATTGGGAACTTGACACAGAAGCTTTAATGATTTCATTGCGATATCTCTTTCCTCACTACAAAAAAATTCTCCATCTGTGGGTTACATATATATTATTATATCTATGTACCAGCATGTTATATTTACTTGTTTAACTGTGAGTAAGGTGGTTATCTTGCATTTCAGGAAGAAGAATTAATGGCTCAAATGGCTGAAGAGGAGAGAATTGAATATGAGAGAAGAAAACGAGAGGAAGCAGAGCAAAAGAAAATTGAAGAAGAACAAAGACGTTTGAGAGAAGAGGAAGAAGCTAAAATAGCAATGGAACAAGCTCGCTTGCAAGCTATTATCAAAGCCAAGTATAACTTTTTGTTTAATATTTTAGTGTTTTTTGTTTAGTTCTAGATCAGGGTGGTCCAAACCCAGGCCCGCGGGCCACATGTGGCCCATCGCTTCATTATCTGTGGCCCACGTCGCATTTGCGCGAGAGTGAACAAAAAAACGCATTTGGTGTTGTTTCGTCATAAAAATAACTAGAAACAACTTTTGACACATTATTACATCACATCATAAAAGCTGACTAATATATTTTTGACTGGATATGGAAGGGAAAATATCGAAATGCTTGCTTGATATGTCTGCAAGTTGTATCGGTGACAATCTTTAAACGTCATTTTCTGCTTATGGCACCTTTTCTGCGATGAGGAGTTTGAAATCTTACACTAAATGTATTTACAGTAAGATTTTTGCACGTTTTATTGGGTTTTTTTGGTGGTTTTAGCTTGATAAATGACAAATACTGATCACTGTGTTTGGACAATAAAGTGTTTGTTTTGTATTACACTATTTACCTATTCTTGGCACTTTTGTGGCCCGCGAACAATACAAAAATAATAATGTGGCCCGCGAGGCCGACAACCTTGGACCACCCTGTAATCTAGATTATTGATATTCTATTTTCAATAATCTATTCTAGACAATCAACATTTCTGTTTGTTTTTTTCAGTAAATTTTTCCATTTTCATGAAAACATGATTTGGGTTAAATGTTACTGTACATATGTCATGATTTTGCATTAAAATTGCTTTAATTGTATTAGATTTAAATTTAAATATAGTACAAGGTTAATAATTCTAAAATAGGTATTTATTTTATTATGAAAATTTTTTATAGTTATGTCATTAACCATCTTTATATTCTGACAAAATCTGATTCTATGTTGTGCTTCTTTGCTTGATTTTATAAACGAAATAGGACATTTAAAAGACTACTGCTTTATTTATTTCCCTGGTCAGTAAATTTCTTTTGTTTATATCAGACAACAAGCTACATTAGAAGAAAAGCTTAAATTTGCAAGAGAATTTTCCATAGAAGCAAATGGTATGGATCAAACTCAAAATGTCAACAGAGCATTCTCATTCTCCTATTTTGAACTTTTGCAACTTCTTGGACTGGAATTTACTGCAGGAAATGCAGATCTGTAATTTCAACTTAATTTTTCTTTTCTATGTTCTTTTAATTCTGAAATATTGATGAGAATTTTCAATGACTTATAACTGATTTTAATCAAGTTGCGTGTGACAGCATGGAAATCGCCCTAGCATTTCTCAAACAAAAGATTGGTGAAATATATTACCAATATATGCCTGATCGGTTATTCAATAAGGCAAGAATTTCAATTATGGTGAAGGATGTTGTGATACAAATAGTCTGATATCCTTCGATTGCAATCTTTTATTAAAATTAGTCTTCGTTTTATTTATTTGAATGTACTAATTTTGCAGTGAAATCGTTAAATTTATGATCTACGCAATTATTATGATCTGTTCACAAAAATTTTACTTCATTTTTGGCTTTTCGACTTTCGACAAATGCCTTTCTGATTTGCTTTTAAACTTAGGTCCAAGTTCTTTAATTAAACATCCATATTTGAACCTAATTTTGTCACAAATTTTCTTAACTTTAGATTAATTCAAAAAAGTACAAAAAATCATTTATTACCTTTTTATTGAGATTATGAAATAATTAAACACATCTTAGATCGTGATATAGAACGTTTTATTTTATTTACCCTAATTTTACCTTTCATTCAATTTTACCTATTATACCCCCACTGTCTCATCTTGCATCATGAACCATGTAGTATAATATTGTATAATTAAATCACTGTTCTGTCTTAGCCTTCATCGAAATTCATAACATTGTAATAATATCATTTTACGCCGTGATTGTGGTATTGGTGGAATGGTTTTCTTACACGGAGTTCATTTACACTTGCACTTTACTTCAGATAATACTTCTATTTGAGCTGTTCTTAATTTATTATTTCATATAAATATAATTATGTCACTGTATTTAATCATGCTTCCATTGATAATAAAATCCATTTTGTTTACGTGTTATGCATTCGAGATCGTGTATATGATGTTAAGCACTGCCATTTGTTAGACCAGCCACAACTATTTCAGGCTTAGACTTTGGGAAGTAAGATGGTCATAAAAAGTCAGATTTAACGTTTTGCAACGCAGATGAGAGTAAAGTTAGCGCAAGTGGTCCGCTTGATGCGCGCACTGCTCCACGGTACATACAAACGCCCCCAGATCCCCTTCTTTCCTGTTCCATTTTGCTATCTGATAGTACAGAGAATGGCTACAGATTCGAGGAAATCGTCTTCGGCAGTGGAAAGTTCTCGACACCGCCAAAGTCTTGTAGTCCTCCAACTTATAAAGTAACTTGTTTCAACGCAGTGGTTCTCAACCTTTTACTGACCCCGTACCACTTTACTATTTTTTTACTCTGGCCGCGTACCACTGAAAAAGCCCTTTTGAGCGCGGGGAACAATGGCAAGACACGCGCAATGGGAGTATTTTCTAATATGGCACTACGTCCTTAGTGAACTAATTCGCAAAACGGACGAAAACATGCCCATCTCGATTTGTTCGTAGACAATAGCAGGCGAGGGCGATCTCTAAAGACTGGACTGGCCCATAATACGTTTCTCCGACTCTTGACCCCAGAAAAATTCTTCCTATACTTTACTATTGCATAAAAATTATACTTATTTCGAAATTGTTTTAATGTGTTGGCGCTTATAAGCTGGTTTACGTGTTTGAAAACACTCATTTTTATTAAAATTAATCAACCATGTGCCGCTTACATGTACTGATACTTAGTTTAGATTAGTCTATCGCAGCATTTGCGAGACTCATTTTTAATTGCAGCAACTAAATTAATCCTCCTTTGAAGACATAATGACAATTAAGATATTTCATTCCCAAATATTTTTTTGAAACGCAACTGAAAACTAACAAATAACACCCATAAAACGAGGCAATGTTTACTGATTGTTGCTGGTTACGAAAATAAACAAGGAAAATGATGCACGGGGAAACATTCATAAAGGCCGTTCATCGATAACATAACCGTAGACATATTAAAAACTACTTCTAACGAAAATGTAGTTCATGGACTGTTCGACGCCGTGGGAATAAAGAATAAATACTGTATATATATATGTATATACATTTGCGTTGTGTCTGAGATGTAAACTACTATATATATATACTAATGATCACTGAATGTACTTAATGAGCTGACTGTTAGTCAGCTAAATTATATATCTGAAATTAGCGAAGCGAAGTTTCAAGCTGATCGAAAAATTAACGTTGTTTCTTATGACCAGCTGTCCCGGTATATCCAGTCTCTTCCGGGTTTTTTTGGGGGTCATAAGTATTGGGCATACACAGTTACTAATTTTTCATCACTGATCTTCCAAAAATTCAGATCATTTCATTACCAATTCATTCATTTGGTTCCATTACATTTGAACCCACGTACATTTGAACCCATGACAATTGCACCTGCATACTATCGCACTTATGAATTTTTTCTGTTTTACGGATATTTGAACCCATACTCACCCTAACCCATGGGTTTTAGCACCCGCATATAGATTGAATCCGCGGATATACGCATGGGTTCAAATGTACGGTCACCCATTCATTTATGATGACGACCCAACTCTTCATTCGTATCTCGCTGTGAAGCCCAATAGACAACGCTGTTTCGAACTTTCTAAATGTTTGGAAAACGGGATTCGTTTGGATTTCCGAATCGCTGACCAGTGGTGGGTTCTCTAGTCTAAACCTAACTCAATTTCAATGTCGGAAGAAATTTTAGACAAATCGTTCAAATTTTGTCTGGTTGGTCTCCCAAGGATTTGAGCTTGAATAAATTACATGAAGTCAATGGTTGGAGACGCATCAATGAAAAATTTGTCGTGCTCGACAATACTTATTTAGTAGGGGCATATTCCACTTATACACAACCCATGTTCGAGTATTTAGTATATTTGTTGTAAAAAGAATTTTGAGTTTTGTCTTGGTTAATTTATTTTTTCCACACTTCAGAGACGCAAGTACCACAAGACTGGTAAACAACAGACTGAAAGCAATACTTAATAATAATTTACGAATATGATTATAAAACACGCTCCTCGTTATATTTATGTCTATACAAATTCAATATGTTTCGAGTAATATACAGTTCTTTTTATTTCAATACTATAGAAAACTAAGAGAATATGCTAGATTATAAGTGGCACATACGACTGTTTGAAAATGCCTACGAAATATAAAAACAGATTGCATTGATGACTTTTATTCTATGTTCAAATTCTGTATTGCGCTTACTACGTATGTCCTGTGAAAGGATCACGATAATTGTTTACGACGTGTTTGCTCATTAACTTGTTAGGATATTGCATAACTAAACGCAATATTTTGGAAAACTCATTTTAATGATTTTGATATTTTCTGTCGCAATCAAAAAGTGTCGGAAAAAGGTGTAATTTTTCCGGTTTGGCAGAAGTTTTGCAAGCGATATCGGTATTTTATGTAAAAATTCATTATTTGTAAAATTTTATGTCATTGGCTCGAGTCGCTCTCTAATGTATTTTTTTCGTAAACCGAGATTCGCGGAATATGCAAAATTTTATCAGTTCACATTAAACTGTAATCGAGATAACACGTAAATTGAAAAATTAAGAATAGCAAATCCTGCTCACTGACATTGAAACAAAAATTCAATAATATCGAGTGTCAATAAAATATAATAATCCTAACTTGCATCGAGTTAACTAGATAGGTAAGTATGATACAGACAGATGGCACTTTCAAAAAACAACAACTAACGGTTATTGTCGGTTCCGATCGACCGATCGATCAACTCACAAGGGAGGGATCGATGATAGAAAGTGATTGAGGCGTGCGTGTGTCGAAATTTATAAACTAACTGAGAAACACAATCCAATACCGGTGCGTACTGAGGTTATCGTCAAGCGAAACAAATATAAATTATGGTTGGGAAGCGCGTTTGCAATATATAAAATGTTACTCAAATTTTGATAAATAAGGCATTGTCGGCGCATTTCATTGACCAAGTCCAAGAAGAGTATCACCATCAGGTCTCCCATGCAAGAACACTCTTTCTGATGATAGACGCTGTACAAGTTCATTTGATAAGTATAATCCGTTCATCACCCTGGGGTTTTGAAAGTTGTCTCCTCCTACTTTACTAAATTAGATCTTAAAATAATGCTTTATTGAAGTCTATGTGGAAATGGATTTATATAATTACAACTGAGCCACTCTCAGAGCGAGCGAAAGGTGATAAAATGATATGCATGGGCTATGTGCCGTCAAGTGGAAACTTTATTTTGCTAATGAAATCATACGTTTCATTAAATTTTCCCAACGATTTATCTAATTGAAAACTCGATCGATGGTTATTGTACTTCAAATTAATATTTTTCGAAGAAGTATGCGAGGCATTTCGAAGGCATATTTGTATGTGCGACTTCGAAAATTGTCAACAATGGCATATTGTCCAATATTTGCTGCATAAAAAACGTAGAAAATAATTTTATACTGCGACACATATGCGAAATTTATTCTGAAAATTGGCATTGTCTTTGAACCCTATTCCTCCGGGGAAATGTTATTCGTGAATTTAAGTCAGTGATCAAGAGGCTTTCCCATGCCTTCGAGTATTATACTTGTGTATTCTACTATTATGAAGACAGAAATGAGCGTAACTCACAACACCAGTCACAAGAGTAAGTGAACCCAGCAGCCCACAAGTATAGGTTTACCATTACTTGTTTAGTGATAAACTACCAGAACCGAATGATGGAATGCGACTTATGTTAACCGTCTGGTCAAATGAAAAAATTGGGCAAAAACAGAGAAACAGATTATTTCTATATTTACTTGAAGTCATAGACATCATTAGCAAAATTGAAATTTCTGACACGCGTGTCATATCTCCGAATCAAAACTGCCAGCACGCATTTCATATTGATTCGAAGAAGTTCAAGATTGTCCAAATCAGGATTTATTTTAAGAGCTTTTCCATGTCCGGCTTTTTCTGTTCATTCATCGGCGGGTGCAATGTACTTCAATATAGCTATTTGTAATAATATTTATCAAAGTACGTATTCTCATTGTCCTAAACATGGACGTTTATTCTTGTCCAAAATGTCAAAAAGTGATGCAACTAGAGAGATCCAGAAATATAGATTAATTAATATCCTTCGAAATGCGAAGAGAAAAAAATAAAAAATCAATCATGCCCGATTATAGCATAATCAGGTATGAGCATGTAAGGCGTTGTATCAGATCGGGTACCTACGCTTCAGAAAAAAATAATCATTTACGGCATATGATGTGCGTAGCGCGTATACCAGATAGAGAGAATACACAGAAACTTCGTACTTTGGAAAACTAATTAAATTATCTCGTACGACAGCTTTCTAGGTTAATGTTGCAATTCATCGCAGAGAAAAAATGAAAAAAAAATCGTTCAGAAGGAACAAAAACAAGATCTACACTCGAATTGGTTAGTTAGAAAAGACAAGTCAGAGTGTGACAAAAAGTCGTAGGCAGGTATATGCAGATATGAGTTTTGAAGAAGAACTATAATATATGGATATTCACGGGTAGTTTATATGTCCATTGTTTTCAAATTCGCCTTCAGCCGTCAATTCTTTTTATTTTGATTTCGAAATTTGACAACACACTAATTTGCAAACTTTTCTCCGTTGTTTATATATTTTGATCGCGGCATAAGTATGGTAACAGATTCGAAGCGACAAGAAATAAATTGTAGATGACAGATAGACGCAGAATTAGAATATTTACTGTCGAATCGGTGTTGCATTCTATGCAGTAAGGTATTGGAACAGAATATAACAAAAATAAAACTCGGTGATACTGAAGCGAATCATTACACGTATAGGCCGTGCTCGGCGTACATGATACGTGTTAAGATAAATTTACTGCGTATTTACTTTATTTGCGTTTAAGATAAATTTTCCATATCTAATTGAATATTTCCACAAAGCCTGTTCGTAGGGAAGCCGTAAAATTCACTTTTTGCCCCTATGATATATTTTATTTTTTAATAACCCAAATTTGTGCCTAACCTAAATTATCCTTTTGGTGTGAGATGTTGTAAATTGCCTTGATCTTCACAGCATAAAATGCTCATTTTTGCAGGAATTCGTTGCAAATTAAAATTGACAGAATGCGAGAATATCACACAATCTTCACAAAATATGGTAAATTTGCTAGAAACCTTTCATTTTCCACTATTTGAAGGTTATGCATAATTGCGTTTAAAAACTAAAGAGTAATTATACAATCGAATATTATTGATGCGATAAATATTTTACATTCTTGTAAAATTTTGAAACGTACTTGAAGTGTTTTTTAATTTTCAAATTTAAATAGTTCTGACAGTGACTATTTCTGAGTGATCATCAAAAAAAGGTCATGATCATTTATATTTTGTAAGCTACCAATTATGAAATTGCATAAAAAATTTCTGTGGTTAGTTTTCAATCGGAATATAAAAGAATGTCCCACCCGTGAACTACATTTTCTATTTTCAGATAATATTTCGAAATTGAAATAAACTAGCTGCATTTATAGTAACCGTCATATCTGGGGTTTTGAAGGATAACATACTGCATAAAAAATTGGTAAGTTTTTCATTTTTCACGCTTAAAGTTAATCTGGTGCTATACGGTAATTTCCCGTTTTCATAGTGTGTAATTCGAATTACAAAATGTTCTAAAAGGCAGGGGAGTGCTTCACGACATGTGACATGTTTTATCAAAAAACATGTTCGTCTCAATTGAGTCATTTATATTTGCCAGTATATTTCTTTGTAGCGTATCCAAAGTTAACATTTCAAAATCAAAACTATCAAGTTTGTAAGTCATGTACGGTTCTCACAAACACGCGGAATATTACTCGGCCTTGTATTAATTTTTTATATACCACAAAAAACAGAATAAAACAAAGAGATATCACGGTTTCATTCGGTCAGTATCTGACAATCATTTAACGGTTAGGAAGATCTAAAAAAAGATAAAGAAGGATTTTTATTTATCCCTTGGATAGGAAATTTAGTGAGACATCCAGTAATCATAATAAAATGGGGTATTTTCGCCTTGTTACTGTTCCAAGTCGAGTATGACAGTAACTAACTTTGAGTCCATTGATGCTGATGAATGAAAGTCAAACCTCGCAAAGGGTTCATTATTTATCCAACACACCACCAACCTCGTGGTATTCGTACCTGTTAGGTCCGTGTCGGATATCAACGATACAATCGCAACCGAGTTTTTTCTTACCATTCAGCCCAATGAGCCACCATGGGATATGTTAGTGATTAATTCCCTTAAAAACATCCTAATTTGTCCACATTTAAGTTTATGTCGTGCATGTATAGGGAGCATAATTTTTTTATAAACAAACAAGCGTTTATTCTTTATTTACGAAAAACTTGGCGATTGTCAACCGTGATTAACAAGCTTGCTGAACCAAGTCAAAATTTTAACGAGACTTAAGTTGAGATAAACGACGACAGCGATATGCGATCAATATTCAATTCCAGTTGGACATCTGGCAATACATTTAGAATAAAACCAAATGCATTTACCGGTATTCGATAGCACGCTTATCTTTGATATGTTCTCTAGAAAATTTCTTTGTCTTGGAGTCGATGTCTCAGTCGTTAACCCATGTTCATAGATAATAGCATTCAAAAGTGAGTTGTTAATGCTTCAATTTGTTTTAACTGTTTGTTATTGAGCCTGGAATCAAAATAGGCATATTCGCCGATATTTTACTTTCTGGCGGCAGCGCGCTAACGATGAGACCATTCTGCTATCTATGTTAAATATGAACAACCTAATATTTTTGAACACGAAATAGGCCTATGTATCGTTTTGCAAAATTCTTGTTGTTGTTCTTGTTGGGAAGTTTGTGGATGTTGGTATTTTGAAACAATCTTCTGTCTACGCAATTAATAGAACAATCGATTCCAAACAGCATCGCATAAAAATGAAAAGAGTATTTAGAAATATATCCCTTCTATTTGATTTTGAATATTTTATCTTCTCTCCACGGGGCCCGATATTTCAATTCGAATATTGTTGTTTTATTATGATTCATAGAGACACATTTAGATGACATATCGTACTTTTATATGACACGAGGTACAATTTTTTTTTTAATATTTTCCGGAATTTGGCTAAATCATTTGATCGTCGAGTCCATATATTTGAGATATTTTCTCTCTTATTAAGACTATGAACAAATTTGAATTAAGAATCAGTTATCCTCTACTTTTAGCAGTAAAGATAGGAGATACTGTGAAAGATTAATGGTGTTTACTGATTTTTGCGCTGTCGGTGTTCATTTTCTCGAATTTCTTTGCAATTAAATCAATTCTGATATCTAGAAAAGCTCTCAAGAGACCTTTCTGTGGCTATCAAAATCGATACTAAATGGCTCAACACGTAAAAATAGTACAAAATACTGATTCTATAAAGCGAATCTGTTGTCAGTGACGTAATATGATAAGTTAATCCGCAATACTGTGTGTTTTATAATTGTGTATTTGAAGTAGGACCTGGGTTAACAACATCAGACTCTATTAGAAACTTGTAAATTTAGTTCAATTTAAAGTTTCATGGATTGGATGAATAATTTTATTATATAAATATTGATGATAAAACGATTACAAGAACCGCTACTAAGAAATTAAAGAAACTCTCATAAAAGTCATGAGGCGTTTCCGGGTTATTCGAGGATAAATTGTTGTTGTTGTTGTTATATGTTTTATGGCGCTTATAACTTCAGTGGTCTTTTGTGCCTTTGATCGATTCAAATTTAAAAATACTATACTAACATATAATACAATACTTAATACGAATATATAATTATACAATTGAATCAATTACAATAAGTAATTATTTCTAAACATTTCTGCCCGTAGACAAAACAAATTCGATAACAAAGTTCTTCCAAAGTCATTTCCAATTTAAGTTTCCTGGCTTTGCTAATGACTTCTTTGATGGTTATATCGTTGACAATGCAATAGGTAGTGGGCTACGGTCTCGGGTACGAAACACTGTTCGCCAAATCCGTCAGAATGACGGCCAAATTTATGTAAATGTTCCTTTAAGGGCGCAATGACAAGTTTGCAGTCGGAATAAAAGAACTTGATATTTACGTGATAAAGTTTCGTTTTCTAGTCGTGACATCGTGGTAGGATGAAATCTTTTATAATGGCTTGCTGATTCGCTAGTAACATATTACGTATTCTATTTTTCTCGAGCTTGTTGTTGACAAATGACTTTAATTCAACTCATTTAAAGTTTTAATGGAACATTTGCAAGAAAATCCATCAATGTTTTGATGCATGGCAGGTGAAAAATATCATATTCGATACCCAATAACTTATTCTTTCTATGACCTATTGCAGTTTTATACCAATTATTCAACGGCCTTACTCTGACCAAGACCTTACCAAGCAGTAATACACAACGTCTGTTAAATGAGACTAATTTTTATGGTTCGTCGAATACCATACCCAACTTATTGGACATTTGAGTGTGGTGGGCACGGTTTCAGACTTAACGTAGGCTACTTGTGGCTAATAGCGTCTGATTTCTATATTCAGAACATAGTTCAGAAATAAATAGTATTAATTTCTCATCTAGTTACTAATATGAATACAACGTCATAGATTCTTTTTAGAATTTGACTATTTGAAGTTAAAACAAATTGCATCGAGTAACCTGGGTTAACACCGACTATGATAATTACAATAGGTAAATTTACTGATATAGTCGACTATGATACTGGTTTGACACTTTATCGAATCGTGGGTGAACGCAATCGAGATATACGCTTCTGGAACTATAATTGACGTGACATTAACTTTTATAAACTAAATTGCGGTACTGCTAAATATAAGCAAATTTTTAACATTCTTATAAAAGTAGTAAATTTTCAAAATGTCAAACTTTGAGTGGGTATCTAAAATACATTCTTGTTTTTTCCCAAAAATAATTCAAATAACGAATAATCGAAAATAGAAATAAGTAATTTATTGATTTAACGCCAAATGCCGTGCATGTGGAACATAGAAGTTTCATTAACTACGCGCGAGGGCACCAATTGTTCGTAATTGATCAAGCTCGCCCATGTATTTTCTAAAGTTAGCTGTACACATTGAACTGATCCATACAACCGAGTTTGCGTTAGAGATTGAATTTTTAATCAGCAAGCAAAATGTCAAAAATCATCAATGGTGTCGAAGCTATCACACTCACTACCAAAGTTCCACATTTATGCTTTGGCGATGGTTTAACCAGTAACCCAGTTTAGACCATATGACAGACGCCCAACTTTTTAAAATGTACAGGTCCATGCAGTTTATGTCGTTTTCTTTTTTATCGATTGAATTGTCTGCCATATGGAGTAAATAATAACCGTACAGAGCTAGGTTTCCATAAAAAAGTAATCAGTAACTGAGAAAGAAAAAAGGAATTTGGGTGACGCCCTAACTATGTTTAAAATAGCAGAGAGAACGGTGATGATATGCAGTAGGTAACAAATGCACAGAGTGAATCCGTTGGCGTCAACCATATTTTTATAAATCAATTCTAATTTGACAAATGTATTGAGAATTTTCGTCAAACATTCGACATTAGTGTCACCGAAAATTTCAAGTCACGGTTGGCAACCTTATTCACTTTGTGCATTTGTGCTTTCGCAGATCAACATCGTGCAAGGAGAGACAGAACACAGAAGTCGTAGATATTGCCACGCCACCATGCCACTGACACCACAAGGAATCATCGCTGGCATTTTTATGATGCCAGGTATCATAAAGTCGTGTGCTTTCCGTGTTGTTGCTTATCTCAGACAATCGGCAGCTCCAGTTAGAACCAGATTCTCAAGTCCGCGATGGCAAAAACGAATAATTCAATTCATTGTGTGCTTGGCTTTACTTCTCGACAACATGCTGTATATGGTAATCGTACCAATCATAGACGATTATTTCAGTGCAACTGAGTCAAAAACCACGCTACCGTTCGAAGACGTAACCACTACCAGACCGATTGATGTCAGATTCGCCGAAAACCACAGTATCGTTACAATTAATACTACTTCAAATTATGTTACCAGTAAAAACACGAAATTTTTAGGCAAGTTGGAAGATAAGCTTCGAAATCTACATCCCGTTAAAATCCAAGATAACCAAGATGCCCTAATGGGGTTACTTTTCGCCTCAAAGGCCATCGTTCAATTGACAGTAAACCCATTCACTGGGGCATTCATCGATCGAGTGGGTTATATCACTCCTTTGACATTGGGGTTGATGGTTATGTTTTTTTCCACTGTTGTATTCGCATTCGCACAATCATATGCGTGGTTGTTTATAGCAAGGAGTTTACAAGGATTTGGTTCGGCTCTCGCCGATACTGCATCATTCGGGTTAATAGCTGATCGTTTCCAGAACGAGGGTGAGAGGTCAAAAGCTTTGGGTATAGCATTGGCATTTATATCATTCGGAAGCTTGGTAGCACCTCCATTCGGGGGAATATTGTACGAATTCGTTGGAAAACCGATGCCGTTCTTCATACTAGCAATAGCATGTCTTTTCGACGCGTCACTTTTG